TCTTCCTCGCCATCTTGTGACTGCGCCCAAGAGACTCCGTAGGTTTCAGGTCGTTCTCCCCCTCCGCCCTCCCCCCCTGCATCGAGAACTCTGCGGTCTACCATGTTCAGGCTGCCAGGGCGTCAGCGAGACGTAGGCGTCCTCGGCTGCTACGTTGGAGGCCACTGTCCCAGCTCATCATCAAGAGCGACGGCATGGGGCTTCGCGACGGCATGGGGTTTCGCGGGCAAACGCTCCTCGTTGTATCGCTCGTGACGTGCAGGCTAGCCAGAAATATCAGTTGGCTCCCTCACGTGGTAGTACTTGCAGTTGGTTGGGCTAGGGTGCACACAGTCGTATTGGGGTTCCGTAAGCATCATAGTCGTAACAACGGGCTTCGTCAGCTGAGACAGTTGGAGAAGGCGTGCATGCGCCAGAGCAGGTTCACAGGGTCACCGTAAAGGACTTGAGCCTGATGGCCAGAAGGATTGCATGCTTGTAGTAGCTGTATCCGAGATGTCTTATGATACGTTGTCCAGGTGCTCAGTTCTTGCCGACAGGATCGTCAAGTGCAGCCGATGGAGAGCGACGGTAGAGTCACTCAAGGAGTCTCGAGAGTGGGCGGTCACTTCCAAGGCATTGGGCACGTTGCACAAGTCTACTCGGCAGGATCCTCTCCCTCCTCTTGAGCTTGTCGATCTGGGGTTTGTGTTACTTCACTCGAAGCGCATCGGCCACCTTGAATCTCGGCGGTGGCGGACATTATGGGCCCCTGAAGTCACGCATCTAGAGGCTGCTCTCGACTCGGTTTTGAGTGTCGGCCGCCATGATGATCCTGACCATCTTCTTCCTCTAACGGTGTGTGATCTCCGGAAAGCGCTCAGAGGTATGAAAGAGTAAGAGGGGATTTGGCGTTGACATGTTTTTTCTTGGGGATCTCGAGCGGCTCCCGGATGTGGGCCTCAGCGCGTTGGCGGACCTCCTCAACAGCGTCAAGGCCTTGCTGGCGTGGCCTGCGCAGACCCCTGTCGTCATCGGCCAACTCCCCGCCAACGGGAATATGATCAGCAGGCTCAATTCTATGCTGGCGAGGATCTGGGGTAAAGCTCGAGAATCCTGGGTCCAGCAATGGACGGCGGCCACCGAGCCCCAATTGGGATGCAGCGAGCACAGGGGATTTCTCGTTGCAGGAGGCTTTTCGGCGTCTTCTCTGAGGAGGTCTCAGCCGCACTCGACATTCCAAATGGGCACAGGCTGATGCACATATGGACCGTACTATGACACAATGTTTTGGCTCAACCTGCTTCGGCCTGCAGTACGCCTGGACTTCCCACCCACTGTACTTAAATTTGAGCTTCTTCAGTGCGCATGCCCGCGGAACTTGAATTATGTCGGGCCTGTCCCTCTACAGGGGGAAGATTCAAAGAGAGTCAAGAAATTGTCTGGGCACGATTTTTTGGTGTTGTTTAACAATTTGGGGTGGGGCTATTTTTGTTCCCAACCCTCCTGCTTTGGGTTCTCGTTTTGAATAGAGCACTGCTCGCGCGAACCTTCCCCCCCCCCCGGCCCTCTCTTCCCCCCTGCCTTTGACCTCGCTCGTCGCTGCGTTTCGAGGGCTGCTGGGGGGCTGCGATCTGCGAAACTGTCGCCACTTTCGAGGGCTGCTGGGGGGCCCAGCACAGTGGGCACCCACGGCGGATTCAAATGGGACCTCGCCATCCCTGGGGGGCTGCGATCTGTGAAACTGTCGCCACTTTCGAGGCCTGCTGGGGGGCCCAGCACAGTGACCCACGGCGGATTCAAATGGGACCTCGCCATCCCTGGGGGGCTGCGATCTGTGAAACTGTCGCCACTTTCGAGGCCTGCTGGGGGGCCCAGCACAGTGACCCACGGCGGATTCAAATGGACCTCGCCATCCCTGGGGGGCTGCGATCTGTGAAACTGTCGCCACTTTCGAGGCCTGCTGGGGGGCCCAGCACAGTGGGTACCCACGGCGGATTCACGCGATCTGCTGTCGCCACTTTCGATGCTGGGGGGCCAGCACAGTGGGTACCCACGCGGACCTCGCCATCCCTGGGGGGCTGCGATCTGTGAAACTGTCGCCACTTTCGAGGCTGCTGGGGGGCCCAGCACAGTGGGTACCCACGGCGGATTCAAATTAGGACCTCGCCATCCCTGGGGGGCTGCGATCTGTGAAACTGTCGCCACTTTCGAGGCCTGCTGGGGGGCCCAGCACAGTGGGTACCCACGGCGGATTCAAATTAGACCTCGCCATCCCTGGGGGGCTGCGATCTGTGAAACTGTCGCCACTTTCGAGGCCTGCTGGGGGGCCCAGCACAGTGGGTACTCACGCGATTCAAATTAGACGCCGCTTTCGTCCTTGTTCTCCTCCTGCAGTCACCTTCCCTCTGCTGCTGCCGTGCTGATGGTTCGGCTTCCCGCACGTTGTTCTCCTGCTCTGCGTTCCCGACTCCCCATGTCCTCTTCGAGCCTGTAGCTGTCGCCCCTCGTTCTTGTATGGTTCTCCTGCGCATCATGCCATAGGCGCGTGTCCCAAGTAGCTTACACATCAAGTTGATTGTCCATGCAAGGTTCGGCCATCTCCTCGTTTCCATTGATACAAATGGGTTGGGTACGTCACAGGTTAATTTTGTTTCTTTTTTATTGTTCGTCCAAAACCCCCCTGCAGGGGACAGGCCCGACTTAAAACTTGAATGATCATGTGTGTGTTTTTTTCTGGTCTGTTCGAGATCGCGAGATCGGCAATCCGGGGGCAGCCCTGGGCTGAGGGTCGGCGGCCAGTCACAGGTTGCGCGAGGTCCACGGTGGCCGACGCGACAGGATTTGGCGCAGTGCATTTACCAGGCGGCTGGTGGTTTCCGGCAGTAGGGCCGGCGTATTTGAAGCAAGCGGTCGTGACATGTGTTTTCCATCAGGATGCGGTGGTTGTCGTGATGGCGCCTCGCAGGAAAGGGTTCCCTATGCCGGCTGTTCGTGCGTGCTTGTATCTCGGTGTTGGCTTGGGAGGTGGTATGATGCATGCTCGGCGAGTCATGATTCACGTCGCCGCACAAGGGCGTTGAGGAGGTCCGCGATGTGTTCACGTCTCGAGGAGCAGGGAGGTCAGGCAGCAGGAAGTTCCGAATCTCAGTTGCATAGCGGGATTTGACAATGTATTATGAGGTATCTGATCAGGTCAAGGCCACTTCAGCGCGTTGTCGAGGCGCGTCGTCGAGAACCTTCAAGGGCTCCGCTACACGACATCGAACCAGCTGCTTGGATGTGAACCCCTGCTCCGCAGTTTCATGGTGATTTACATAATTCAGGTTTGGATGTTGTGGGGCCAGGTGATCTACCAGTGGGTTCTTCGGATCATCCCGCGCTATTTCGCCGTGGGGATCTTATTCTCCCGACTCACACTTGAGGCGAGTAGCCCTCAGCATCGTGGTGATTGCATCATTTGAGCCAGCATGTGGGCAGGACCATATCGCAAGCGGGCTCGCAGGACGGAAGCAGCTGGAGCCTCGAGGAGAATGGGAAGCTCTCTGGGTTGGTATTGTGGGCCAGTTCGGGGCCGACCAGGTATACCACGGACTGCGAGAACGTGAGGGATGGCTACAACGGAAGCAGGACGAGCCACGATGAGAGAATGTTGCATGTGGACTCAGATCCAGCTCTTGGTCGGAGGCAGGAACATTAATGTCATCGGGGTTGACTTTCTGCATGCACATCTGTCTGGTAAAGATATTGTTGACGGACGTGCCCTCGGTGGCAAGTGATTGGCAAAATGAGCGCCATGGCGAGGGAAGTGGAGATACCAGGGGCCGATCGGCATCACATCCTGGAGATCGAGAGGCAGGCCTTCCGTGTGAGGCACAGGCTCGTCCGCGCGGCTGCGGACTCCAGAGCCAGCGACTTCGAGGGTCGGAGGCCGAGAAGGGAGGGCGGTGCGCTTCCCCCTCTTCCTCGCCCTGCCCCGCCCGCAGCTCGCGACACAGCTTCAGTCTTCGGGACCCGCCACGCGCTCGAAGACTGGCATGAGGTGCGAGCGTTGTTTGGGGTCGGCCTTCACAGCTAGTCGAGCTGTGGAAACACACCGTCTGCTTGATACCCTTCAGCGTGAACGGGCGCTTCACGGCATTCATAAGCATGGCGAGCTCCACGTGGCGAAGGACAGGGTGCACGGTTCACACATAACGCATTTAAGCACGAAGTTGGGTTTGTGGTTCTGTAGGACGTGCGGGTATTGCGCCAGCTAACACAATATTTCTTTTCGCAAGCGTTGCGAAATAGCCACGCCGACAGAAGGCGCATTTTACCAGGATCCGACGAGGTTATTGGCCGAATACTTACAGCAAGACTAAGAAGGCGAGACGGCCAGGTCCTGGCAGTGGTGCCCCCTCCTCGGTCTAAGGCTCCGTTGTCTTCCATTGGCTGAACAGACATTATCATTATAATTCTCCGCGGCGCCTTTGGAGCGACAGGCGCTCCTCTTTATCTCCCCCCCTTTTCAGGGGGGCGGAGGGGAGAGAAAAAGTGTGTGTGTGTGTGTGTGTCTGTGTCTGTGTCTGTGTCTGTGTCTGTGTCTGTGTCTGTGTCTGTGTCTGTGTGTGTGTGTGGTGGTGGGAGGGGGGGGGGAGCGGGTGGCGAGGAAGGCGAAGGGGCGGAAAAGGGAAGGAGGGAAAGATGGGCGGGGAGGAGGAGAATGAAAAGGAGAGGGGGGCAGGATGAGGAGGCTGAGTATGAGGACACGCTGGGAGGGAGGCGGAATATGGCAGGATCCAGATTTCCGAGTCTCCGACGTTTTTTTTGTCCAGCTATACGGACCCCCAGACATTTGGACCACTTCCCCCGACCGGCTATTCGTGCCGAGTCGTTTCATGGCGGTCCCAGGGCCTGGCGAGGGCCCCTCAAGGCCGAAACCTTTCAAAACACCGTGCGTGATGATTTTATCGCCACGCGAGGATGTCAGGGTCGGAGGACGAGGTGGGGTGGGAGGAGTAGGACGCCGCCGCTGCCAGGCGGCGGAGGCGGCCGAGCGCAGCATCGCGAACTTGGAGCGTCGCACCTCCGCCAGCCAGCAGGAGAGTGCCCGCCCCGACGGCACCGCCCGGCCCCTCCATCGGCGACGACGAGGTCGACAACGACGACGAGGAGGAAAGGGAGGACAAGGTGGACGAAGACGACGACGACGACGACGACGACCCCGACGACCCCGACGAGGACGACGGCGATGACAACGACGAGCGATGGCGACGACTGCGTCGAAGGTGACCTCCACGAGGACGACGGCGAGCGGTGGCGGCGAATGGTGGCGATGGCCGCCGCGCGCGGGTCTGGAGAGCCGCCGTGTTCGCAGAGGCCCCCTCTTGGGGCCTCCGGCGTGGGTTCGAGCGTCCGCCCCCGACGGCTGCTTCTGTCGCCGTCTGTTCCCCGTGAGCAGGTCTTGTGCGGGACTCGCAATTTGGGGGGTTGGCGAGGGGGGGGCGCCCCCTGAGAAGGCGGGGGGGGGGGGATTCTCGGAAGGCGGGCGCCTTTTTGGAAGGGCCCAGGGGGTTTTGAGGAAGCGCCTCAAGAGCCAGAGGGGGCTTCTGAGAAGCCTTGCTCGCGGTCGGGAGCTGTGGCTCAGCGTGTCGCTCCGCCGGCTCTGGCCCACCGCGCTCCGGCGCGACACGCCGTCCACGTCCCGGGCCAAAAGCGTCAACTTCTCGAGTGGGCCCTTGCTGCCTCCACCCCGCGGAGCGGAGCGACATGCTGTCCGCTCGCAGGGCACAAGTGACGTATCGCAGGAACCGAGGCCGCGACACGCAGAGCAGGAGGTCCCAGCCGTGGAGGCCTCCCCGCCTTCTCGGAGGGCCGCCCCCCTCGCGGGAGGTGCTTCCAGGGCGCCCTGGGCAGCCTTCGTCGGCTCTCGGCGGTGTTCCACCGGTCGCGCCCCCATCGGGGGCGGCCAAGAGGGGGGTGGCGACTCGGGTTGTGGAGGTCGATTTATGGAGAGGAAGCATGCTGCCAAATAATTCCCAGATGTCCAAAGATGTTTCAAACATGTTTTAACTATATCAAACAACATGTTTGAAACATGTTTAGAACATGTTTTACACATTTCAAACACATCTTTAATTCAGTGATAGGACTGTTCGAGTGTCCATTTCGGGGCGTCCCCTGGCCAACCCTGGTCCGCGCACATGCCTCGGGCCACGATTTGCGAGTCCCCCTCTGTGACGCCCCCGACTCGAGCCACCCCTCTCGTTGTGATGCAATTGACGCGACGACGCTAAATTTGTTGGGCGAGTTTATGTGCAGGCCTCCGGGGGCCTTTGCTGGGCTCTGGAACCGTCAAAGATCAACTCGGGAGGAAGACGCAGTCCCCCTTCGGGGGTCCGCGCTGTGCAAAGATCACAGATCTTGGTCGCAAGATGCGCTTCCGGGGGGTGCCAGACTCGTCCCGCCGCCGGAGGGCCGAGTTGTGGTCCGGGGGCCAGTGGGCCGAGTGCACAGATTTTCGGTGATCTGCGTGTTTCATACGAGTCAGCAAAGTGTTTAAGTAGTAGTAGTAGTAGTAGTAGTAGTAGTAGTAGTAGTAGTAGTAGTAGTAGTCGTAGTCGTAGTCGTAGTCGTAGTCGTAGTCGTAGTCGTAGTCGTAGTCGTAGTAGTAGTAGTAGTAGTAGTAGTAGTAGTAGTAGTAGTAGTAGTAGTAGTAGTAGTAGTAGTAGTAGTAGAGAAGTAGTAGAGAAGTAGTAGTAGTAGTAGTAGTAGTAGTAGTAGTAGTAGTAGTAGTAGTAGTAGTAGTAGTAGAAGTAGTGGTAGTACGGGTAGTCGCAGTAGTTTCCGTATTAGTGGTAGTCGCAATACAGTAGTTAGAGTAATAGCAGTGATTGTAGGAGTGGTCGTAGAAGTAGTAGTAGCAGTAGTAGAGGTAGTTGTTGTTGTGGGTGACGTGCTAAGCGTCATCGTAGTAGTCGTAGTAGTAGTACTAGTAGTAGTAGCAGTAGTCGTAGTATTACTGGTAATTGTAGTAGTAGTCGTCGTCTTATTAGCCGTCGTCGTCTCAATGGTAGTAGTAGTGGTATTTGTCGTGGTAGTAGAAGTATAAGTAGCAGTGGTAGTAGGAGTAGGTCGTCGTAGTTGGTAGTAGTCGTCATAGTCGTCGTCGTATCAGTAGTAGCAGTAGTAGTAGTAGTAGTAGTAGTAGTCGTAGTAGTAGTAGTAGTAGTAGTAGTAGTAGTAGTAGTAGTAGTGGAAGTATCATTAGTAGTAGCAGCAGTCGTACAAGTAGTAGTAGTAACAGGAGTGGTAGTAGTAGTCGTAGTCGTAGTAGTAATAGTAGTTATAGTAATAGTAGTACTGGTAGTAGTAGTAGTAGTCGTCGTAGTAGTAGTCGTAGTAGTAGTAGTAGTAGTAGTAGTAGTAGTAGTAGTTGTTGTAGCAGTAGTAGTAGTAGTAGCAGCAATAGCAGCAGTAGTAGTAGTAGTAGTAGTAGTAGTAGTAGTAGTAGTAGTAGTAGTAGTAGTAGTAGTAGTAGTGGTGGTAGTAGTAGTAGTAGTAGTGGTAGTAGTCGTAGTAGTCGTAGTAGTCGTAGTAGTAGTAGTAGTAGTAGTAGTAGTAGTAGTAGTAGTAGTAGTAGTAGTAGTAGTCGTAGTAGTCGTAGTAGTCGTAGTAGTCGTAGTAGTCGTAGTAGTCGTAGTAGGAGTTTTAGTAAGAATGCCGATGGCACACAGAGGACATGCAATAAGTATGTGATATTCCTCGGTCGCGTGTTTTTTTTGTAGTGCGTACGATCGGATTCCGAAGGGGTCCTGGAGGATCTCTTCGGGTTCCTGCCGATTTCTGACAGATTGCTAAAATGGTGGCTGGAGGATTTTCGCGGTTTCATGGGGCTCCTGAGATATCATCTTGATCCGGATGGGATGTCAAAGGATTAGTCGATATCCCTACAGATCTTGAGGATTTATGTGGGGTCCCCGAAGGACTATGCAGGATTCCCGCAGGTCTGCTGCCAGCTTCTATATAATGATGTGTAGATTCCCGCGGGGTTTTCTCAAGATTTCTAGGTTTGCTTTGGGCCCCTTCAAATTCCGAAAGACTTCTGAGGAGTCCAAAATGATTCCTGAAAGGGTTCCTTCGGATTCCTGCGGGTTGCTGCAGGATCCCTCGTACATTGCGCTGCGTCCGCGCCGCCAGAACCATTCAAGGCAATGCGAACAGTGCAAACCAATGCACACCATGCGATGCAAAAACTTGAAAAGCAAGTCAACGCAATGCGCAGCAGTGCAAAGCAATGGCAAGCAATGCAGAGCCATGCACCGCAATGCAAAGCAATGCGAAGCAATGCGAAGCAGCGCGGCGACGAGCGGCGACGAGCCGGCCAGAGCGCCACTGTACACAGGTGAGAACCCTTAAGTGCAAGCACTGTCCTGGGAAATTGGTAAGAAGGAGCACGGTCAGGGGCAACGTGAACGTGAGATACGCTCAGGGGGAGATGCGTCGACCACCAATCGCCCACTGATCGCCGGTATGGGGCCTGTAAGCCCACCCCGCCTGGAACTTTACGGTTTCAGGGTCGAGAGCATATCGCCGACCTATCGGCCATGCTCTGCCGATTCCAGCCAGTTCGATGTCCCCCCCCTGAGCCAGTCTCCCTTTTCCCCTTATCCTTGCCCTTCCTCGCAGGAGCAGGGTACCTCCTCCTTCTGCTTCCCCTCCCCCCTGGTCCCCGGGCCCCTCCCATGACGACGAGAAGCCTCGAGGAGACTACAAAAGAGCGAAACGCGCCTTGGAGTGCCGCCGTTGATTTGAAAGGCCCGCCTCCGATCTTCCTCGCCGACATCGAGGATCTATTCCCCTCGTGCCCTTCCGCCCTCCTGCTCGGCGCGGGGGGGGGGGATCGGCAGGAGTTTTCCGCGGCCCTCGCCAGCCTGAGAGTGAAAGGCGCCCCGCGGCACCCCTCCCCTCCGAACCGCGCGCCCGCGCTCGCTCTTGTCCGGGAGGTCGACGGCGAGGGGACGCAGGAGGTCCTGAAGAGGGCCACCTTCTCTCGGCGTGCCCGCGGCGTCGGAGATCTGGGGACCCCGACATCCAACGTCTTCACCAAAGACCATGACGTGGGTGTCTCTCCGTTTTTGGGATCCCAGGGCCGTCAACAAGACGGCTCGGGATGAGAGGCCAGGGTCGGGAATTCTGGGGACCGAGGATCTCTGGATAGGGACGGGGACGAGGAGGAAGACGAGGTGGAGAAGGAGGAGGAGGAGGAGGAGAAAGAGGGGGAGAATGTGGAGGATAAGGAGGAGGAGGAGGAGGTGGAGGAGGAGGAGGAGGAGGAGGAGGAGGAGGAGCAGAAGCAGAAGCAGGAGAAGGAGGAGGAGGGGGAGGGAGAGGAGGAGGGGCAGGGTGAGTGGGAGGGTGTGAGGCGAAGCTTCGCGCGGTCTCCATTTCGCCACGGCACCACGTATCTTTGCGGCCGCCTCCACGCAGATGAGTTGGAAGAGTGTGGGATAGGATGGAATGTGGAGTTCAGGTATTTGGCTCGATGAATATGATCTGACAGGACAGACGAAGGGGGGGAACTCCTTCCCCCAGGGCTTCTCTAGCCCCGATGAAGGCCTGCAGCCAGATCGCTACGGAAGGAGCGAGTCAAACCAATATCGAGTAATCGACAGAGGTGGAGGGGGAAAAGGAGGAGGAGGAAGAAGAGGAGGATGATGAGGAGGAAGAAGAGGAGGAGGAGGAGAAGGAGGAGGAGAGGAGGAAGGAGGAGGGAGGAGGGAGGAGGGGGGAGGGAGGAGGGAGGAGGGAGGAGGGGGGAGGGAAGGAGGAGGGAAGAGGGAGGGAGGGAGGGAGGGAGGGAGGGAGGGAGGGAGGGAGGGAGGGAGGGAGGGAGGGAGGGCGGGAGGAGGAGGAGGAGGAGGAGGAGGAGGGAGGAGGAGGAGGAGGAGGAGGAGGAGAGGACGATGTGTGGCCGAGCGCCAGCCCTGGACGAGCCCCTGAGTTGCCGACCCAAGCCAGGGCACCTGCCAGGAGGAGCAGGAGAGGGACCGCAGGAGCCGGCGGCGCGCAGAAGCCCTTCTCGATCCCCTCCTCGCCCGGCCCTCTCTCCAACCTTGTCCTTCGCCTCCTCCTCCTCCTCCTCCTCCTCCTCCTCCTCCTCCTTCTCCCGGTCTTCCGCCGTTCCTCCCAGATCTCCGACGATGTGATTTCTTCAGTCCCCACCCTTTGCCCCGATGTCGGCCCCTGGGATCCGTCCTCGGGGCCCCGGGCCAGGAGCGCGACCCCCCGTGAAAGCGGGCATGGAGCAGCCGCCGTGCATGCCGAGACCTGGGCCCTCGTCCCTCTCCCGCGCCGGCCGGCCCGAGCGCGGCGCTCCTGGTCGGGCAGCGCCACGGGCGCCGCACGGCAGCCGCCGCCGCCACGGCACCTGCCCAGGCGGCGTGGAGTCCGCAGCCGCGCCATGGTGGCGCCAGCCCAAACCGGCCTGCGGGCGCCCGGTGCCCCGAGCGGCTCCGCTCCGAGCGGCGAGCTGCCGAGCGGTTGCTGGCGGCCCTCGTCCCGTTTGGCTGCCGCCAGCCACGGTGGAGTTCCGCGCCAGCCGCAGGCCTGGCAGGCGCCAGGCGCAGACGGCGGCCGAGGGCACGGTGGTGGCCCATCGCAGAGACGAGCAACGCAGCGTTGGCGGTTGCGGTCGCGCCAGGGTCACAGCAGTACCTCCTGGGCCAGATCTGGCCCGAGGCGCAGGCAGATCGGCTTGCAGAAGCAGCGCGCGGCGTCGAGAGCTTGCCCGCATGCCCACAGCCTCGCGGCAGGCCGAGGCCGAGCGACTGGGGGCGCTGTCAGAGGCAGACCGCCATGCCTTTGCAAGGTGGAGGACCAGCTGCAGGCGAGCCAGAGGGCGCAAGCCACTGCCGGCAGGGGTGTTACCTGCGGCAGCGGTCGCGCCTCGACCAGCGGGCGCGGCAGCTTGCAGTGGAGGCCGCGGCGCAGTGGGAGCAGAAGGCCAATGAGGCGAGGGCGGCCGCCGCGAGGGCAACGGCCGCGGAGGCGGAGCCCGCCGCGGCCCCCGCGCCAGCCGCGCGGCCGACGACGCCAACGACCCCGCTGCCGGAGGCGCGAGCGACGCCGGCGGCGAGCCCCCGCGGCACAGCCTCTCGCCACCGAGCGCGCGGCCAGGGGCCGAGCGTTGGCGCGGCGGTCGGCGGAGCGTGCGGCCCTGCGGCGCAGCGGCCCTGCGGCGCTGCGGCCCAGCTTGGCGAACGTGCGGAGGAGCCGGCGCCCGGCAGCCAGAGAGGCTCCGTCCCGAGGAGCTGCCGCTGCCGGCGGGACGGGAGAGCGTCCAGGGAGGCCAGGAGAGGGACGCGCTCGTCGACACGAAGCTCGAGCCGCGGCGGAGAGTCGCAAGCTGGGCGGGGGCTGCTAAAACCGTGGCTGCTAAAACGGCCCTCCCGGAAGGGAAAAACAACTTCCCGGAATGAGGCGCGGCACGCGGCACAGTCAACGGGCTCCTTCCCGGAAGGACGAAGACAACTTCCCGGAGGTCGATTTTAGCAGCCACGGATTTAGCAGCCCTTGCCCGGCTTCTCAGAGAGAAGGCAGCAACGGATCGCGACACGGCCCGACGGCGGGCAGCCGCGCCGAGATGGAGCACTGCGCCGCCCCTCGGGACGGATGCCTTTGCCGGCCGAGCCCGAACGAGGCGGGCGGGCGCGGAGATGATGCTGCGCAGGAGCGACGCGGAGTCGGCGGCGCTGGACGAGACCCAGCTGCAGGGCGTCGAGGAGGAGGAGAAGGAGGAGGAGGAGGAGGAGGAAGAGGTGGTGGTGGTGGTGGTGGGCACAGGCTTGGACGCAAGATCGCATATGCCGAGGGTCCTTCCGCCCTGCTTCCTGCACGGCGGACGCGGGCCTCCTCCCTTCCTGAAGGGGCCCACAGAAATCTCACGCCCAGGGGGGCACCCTCAACTTATAGAGAGGCCCACGGGAGGAGGGCCCTCCGAGGCTGTGCAGACTCCTTGCAGAGGGCTCGAAGCGAATCACATGTACGGTCTGGCCTCATTCGGGCCCAGACGCCGCCCTCCGAGCCTGTGCAGCCTCCTCGCAGAGGGCTCGAAACGTGAACAATGCCGACAGCAGACACCTGCACGGCATATAAAAAATGAAAATCTCATGGGCGGCCTAACCTCCTTCGGGCCCAAACGCCGTGCGCCAGTCTGCTATAGACGAAAGGAACTCGTGCGAGGTGGGCGGCCGGCGCGCGCGCCTCTCCCTAATCACCGAGTCGACACAGCTGAGGGGCGACACGACGGCGTCCAGTAGTGCGTCCATATGTGCGACATGGTCCTCCTCCAACTTGCTCTGGCTCACTCGGCCGGCCACGACGTGAACGTTCAGCTGCACGTCCTGCACGGCCTTCACCTGCACCACGTCATGTTCTATGGCCTTCAACGGCTCTACCGGGCTGTCCACGGCGCCCTTCAGGTAGTCCAGCTCCTCCTTCAGCAGGACGCCTGGGACGATCGGCTCCAGGGACTCGGTCGCGCCCTCGGTGGAAGAGTGGGCCCGGTGCGCGGTGCCGAACGTGCCGTTCGCGAACAGGTCCGTCATGCTGGCCAGTCTTTCTGCCAGCCCGAGGTCGATCTTGGTCTCCCCCTTCACCTTGACGTTGGCCTTGCATTCCGGGGCGCACTTGGTGTCCTTCTTCGGCAGCTCTCCCAGCTTCTTCGCCGCTGGTTGCAGCGAGAGCTTGTCCTCGGGCCCGTCCTCGGGATGGCCCAGTTGGGAGCTCTCGAGCACCTTGGCGCCCTTGCTCGTCAGGATCGAGGCCGTGATGTGCTTCTCGTCCGTGATCTCCAGCTCCTCCTTCAGCGGGAGGCCCGTGACGCTCGTCCCTAGGACTTCGGTCACGTCCTCGGTGGAAGAGTGGGCCAGGTGCGTGGTGCCGAACGTGTCGTTCACGGACGGGCCTGTCAGGCTTGCCAGGCCCCTCTGTTCGAGCTGGCCGAGCAGGTGGTCGATCCTGGCAAGCTCGGAGCCACAGCGTTCGATCCACCCCTCGAAGCCGCTGTCGGACTCGCTCGGGTCGCAGGAGCCGTCACCGGAGCCGCAGTCGTCCCCGCCCTGGCTGCTGCTGGCGCTGGAGGCGATGCTCTCGTCGAGGCTGGCGCTGGAGGCGATGCTCTCGCCGGGGTCGGCGCTGGAGGCGATGCTCTCGTCGTCCTCCTCGTCGGGCCAGGGGCCCCCATCCGGCCAGGGGGACTTCATCCAGGCGTCATCCCCGGCTCCCTTCAGGTAGTCCAGCTCCTCCTTGAGCAAGAAGCCTGGGACGCTCGGCTCCAGGAACTCGGTGACGTCCTCGGTGGAAGCGTGGGCCGGAAGCGCGGTAGCGAACGTGTCGTTCACGAACAGGTCCTTCAGGAGCTCGGGGCCAATCTTGTTATCCCCCTTCACCTCGCCGTTGGCCTTGCATTCTGGGGCGCACTTGGTGTCCTTCTTCGGCAGCTCTCCCAGCTTCTTCGCCGCTGGTTGCAGCGAGAGCTTGTCCTCGGGCCCGTCCTTGGTACGGCCCAGGTGGGAGCACGCCAGCACATTGGCGCCCTTGCTCGTCGGGATCGAGGCCGTCATGCGCTTCTCGTCCGTGATCTCCAGGTCCGCATTCAGTGGCACGTTGAGGTCGCATCGGATCAGCTCCGTCTTTCCCTTCAGGCCGACAACGCCGAGGTCCTCCACGGACTTCTTCACGACGATCTTATCATCAAGCGCAGCCACACCCGGGAGCACCTTGCCCACCTCGAGTTCCACGGGCCTGTGCGTCGAGGGCCTCCTGCTCGTCGGCCTGTACGTAGCCCTGCACGTCGGCCTGCGTGTCGAGGGCCTCCTGCACGTCGGCCTGCGCGTCGAGGGCCTCCTGCACGTCGGCCTGCGCGTCGAGGACGTCCTGCTCTGCGAAGGGCACCTGCACGTAGCCCTGCTCCACGGCCCGCCAGGCCTCGGCGGCCTTCGGGTGCCCTTGGAGTCCATCATGAACGTGTCCATAATGACCGCCATCGGCTGCACCGGGCTGTCCACGGCGCCCTTCAGGTAGTCCAGCTCCTCCTTCAGCAGGAAGCCCGGGGCGCTCAGCTCCAGGAGCTCGGTCACGTCCTCGGTGGATGAGTGGGCCCGGTGCGCGGTGCCGAACGTGTCGTTCCCGAACAGGTCCGTCAGGCTGGCCAGCTCGGGGCCAATCTTGGTCTCCCCCTTCGCTTCGTCGTTGGCCTTGCATTCTGGGGTGCAATTGATGTCCTTCTTCATCAGCTCCCCCAGCTTCTTCTTCTTCTCGTGCCCGCCCTTGGGACGGCTTAGCTGGGAGCACGCCAGCACCTTGGCGCCCTTGCTCTTCGGGATCGAGGCCGTGATGCGCTTCTCGTCCGTGACCTCCAGGTCCGCATTCAGGGGCACGTTCTGCGCGATCCAGCGCGCCAGGAGGGCGACGTCTGCGCCTCGGACCGGCCGGCGGCGCCGGGCGGCCCAGCGCAGGCGGCAGAGCGCCGACGCCAGGGGCCTCTGGGCCTGCCGAGCAGCCGGTCCAGGAAGCATCTCGTGTCGCGGCCGGACCCGCTCGCCTCAGGCGCGCGGGCCGGCGCGCATGGCAGCTGCCCCGAGCGAGGTTCGCGGATGCCTGGTATCCGCGCCCAGGACCTCGAGCCGGGGCGGCGGCTAGGAAGAGGAGGAGGGAGGGAGGAGGGGGACGACGGCCGCATGTGGGGGAAGGGGACGCGTGCGAGGAGGGAGGGAGGGAGGAGGAGGAGGGAGGGAGGAGGGGGGCGGCTCGGGGACGCGTGCGAGCAAGGCGCCCGCATCAGTCCCCTGAGCGAGCGTGCGCGCCAGCGGGCAGGGGTGGGCGCCCCGCAAATGGGGGCCTTCGCGACCTGCTGGCCGCCAGGTCAGGTTGGGGCGGACCTTTGCGCCAGTCGTGGCATGTCCCGGTGGCGCCCCTGTGCCGCCGCCCTTCCTTCGGCCGGATGGCGATGGGGGGATCAGGACATGGGGGGATGAGTATCCGGTACCGTTTTGTTGGGGTACAATTTGTACCTTCTCTTCGAGCTGCAAGAACAAATTGTACCTTCTCCCCCCCCGTTAACATCCTCGCACATGTCGCGGACGTTGTCAAAAGTACAATTTGTACCTTGTCTGCGTGGCGTCGGTACAAATTGTACCTTCTCCGTGGGGCGTAGGTACAATTTGTACCTCGGTTGCGCCTCTCTCCCCATCTGGACTTATCCCCCCATTTGCATCCCGCCAATTCCTGGGCTTGGGGCGTATACCAGCTGAGGATGCAGAGGCAGGGAAAAAGCGTAAGTGGGCCGAGGAGGCCGGCATTCCAGAAATGCTTCTTCGTTCCTCGAAGTATCTTTTTCGAGCCTCGAGGCCCATTTGGGCGGCCTCCGTTTCTTCCTCCCCCCCCTCGGGTTTGGCGAAAGGGGTGGTAGGGAGGGGGGTGTTCACGAAATCTGTTGCGTGCAGCTGGTTTCGGTTGCGCTGCCGGGAGCCTTCCTCGATACGCCACAGAGGTTTTGGGTGTGCGGCCCCAGCCGCGGCAGTGCTGCCAGGCCCCATGGCCGCCTCGCCTCTCCTTCCTCATCTTGGTCCGCTGCCAGGCCCTGCATCGTGGACTCCCTGCCCCACCAGTTGAGAAAAAGCCCGCATTCAGGAGGGGAAAAAACACACAGACACAAGTATTCGTCGATTCCCAGAAAATATGCGAAACATGGGAAGTGGGGGGGAAGACAGGAACCCAGAAAATATAGGAAAATATGGGGAATCTTTAATTTGAGTGTATTTACTTGTGTGTCCCAGGGCCCCTTCAATGTTTGAGGACAGCGGCCCTTCCCTGGGGCTTGAGGGGGTTTGATCTTGCAGCCATGGTCGGACCAGACCACCCCGCGGCCTTCCGCCGTGGGCGAAGCTGCGCGGAGACAATACGTGGGGTCACCCCCCCCGTGGGACTATCCCCCCCCCCCCGCGGGGGCTATTTCCCCCCCCCCTTCGTCCGACCCGCCCCCCGCCAGTCGACGGCCAGCTCCGGCGCACCGACGCCCTCGCCGAGCGCCTGGACCCGACGCGCCGCTCCGCCCCCCCCCCCTCCCTCCCTTGCCATGCCGCGCGGCCACTGCCGGGCTCGTTCGCCGCGGAGGCCGGCGATCGGCACGGGGCCGGGCAGGGAGGGCGACGAAGGCCAGCAGCAGCCCCCTGTCCCATTTTGGAGCCGGGGTCGCTGTCGATGTCGCCGCGGACGTGCTCCACGTGGCACGGAGGGTTCTAGGCCTCCTAGACAGGGTCGGAGTAGATGGGGTCGGAGGTTCGCGCCGCATCGCCGATGCATCGCCGATGTGGCTCGATGTGGAGCCCGATTTGCCTCACGCCGAAATCGCCGATGCATCGCCCACGTCGACGGTGCATCGCCGGAGCATCATGCCGATGCATCACCGATGCATCGCCGATGTATCGGCGATGCGGCACGATCCCCCGACTCCATCTACTCCGAGGCCTCTAAAGGTCGCCTGCCCAACAGCGGCCGCTGCCCCGTTTCGGACAGGAGCTGCTGTTCGGCATTGTGCCCCGTTGGCTCCGTGCCCAGTGCGGGCATGCCACGGTGAGGCTCCGCGGGCCACCTTGGACGCAATGCGCGCCAGGGGTGGCCCCAGCAGAGGTGCCGCCAGGTGTCCCCGCGCCGGTCCAAGAAGCCCGCGCGTACCTCCGAAAGCTTACGCGTCTGCAGTTCCTCTGTTCCTCTATGGGTTGGAGGCCTTTTGGGGACGGCTTCGGCTCTCTTTGGACGTTCGTGTAGTCACGGCTGGCTCTTCGAATGCAGAGTTCGGGGGGTGGGCGTGGGTCACACCCATTGGAAGAAGGGTCCGTTGGGTTCGAGGTCGAAGGTCAAGGGTGTACGTTTGAGGCCTCGGGGAGGCCGAGGTCGAAGGTCGAGGTTAAAGGTCGAGGTTAAAGGTCGAGGTCGAAGGTCGAGGTCGAGGTCCTTTCGGTTCGAGGTCGAAGGTCGGGTTACTTTTGAGGCCTCTGGGAGGCTCGGCTCCTGGTCCCCACGGCTGGGTTCCCACCAGGCAACCCAGGAGATGCCCCAGGGCTGACCTCATGGGGGGTGACCGAAATGAGGAGCGAAGCAGCGGGCCCTGCAGGAGCCCAGTGGGGCCCCTGGCGGGCCCCTGCTGGCTCTGCAGTGTTCGGTTCCGTGCGTTCGCTTTTCGCAGGGTGATCCACGATGCACCTCGATGGTCCTCACTGCGGGCAAGATCCATACGCCCGAGCGACGCCACGTCCTTGCAGCTCCTCGGTCGTCTCGTCTTCACCGCCCGCCCGACATCTCCTGCTCCCCGGCCAGCGCCCGGCAGCCCGACCTGCACCGTGGAGCCTCCGACGAGGCGGCCCGCCCTCCCGAGGGGCGTGCCGGCCCGGGAGGGGGTCCTGCCCGCGGGCCGGCCCGGGCGCGGACTCTGAGCGAAGGGTTCCAAGCATGCTTCGGCGGCGCGCACAAAGGGGGTATGGGGGAGAGGGGGGGGAAGGCTTCTGAGACAGACCCCCCAGCGCAGTGATCAGAAGTCACGACGGGAGGTCTTTCACCATTTTCGGCCTCCGGGGGCCCTTACCCAGCCTCGGGACCGACAAAAAATTAGTCCTGATGAAGAGCCGGTCCCAGGGAAGGGGTCCAGACCTCTTGGGGTCGACGCTGCGAAAACAACACGGCCTCGGGGGACTGGGACTGTGTCGCAGCGTCGGATCGCAAGGGTTGCCGTCTTCGTCGTGGGGGTCGTCGTGGTCGCCGTGGTGGTCGTCGCCGCCGTCGCCGCTCGCCAAGCCGCGGCCGCAGGCCCCAGTCAGGGGAGCAAGCAAGGGCATACACAACAGCTTTCGGAGGTCCGCTCGGACTGGCCCCCCGCGTGAACACAGTACGGCGCCGGGATCGCAGGGACGACGGCGGCCACCATCGCGAAGGCGGCCACACGAAGATGACGGCGGCCACCGCAGCGGCCGCGACACAACGTCTCGCCATCGCCCTCGGAGTCCGCCGCGCAGCGCCAGGAGTCGGCCCACGAGCCGGCGCTGGAGGCGCTGCGGGCCGAGGTGGCGCAGGCGCGCGGGCAGGACGGTCTCTCCCGCCGCCCCTGCGCCTTGCGTGGGTTGAGTCGGGCTGCGTCCCTCTGCAAGGGGGGGATGTAGTCAGAAATAGGCAGAGCATGTCAGTGGACGATGCTGTCTACTACGTTTGATGCTTCTTGAGCAGCTGCTGGCTCTTAAGATTGCCCTTCTTCCGGAATCCGCCTGTATGGGGGGCATGCCCGACCCAAGCCTCGGGAGGGCGGGCGTGTCGCAGGATCCTCGCGCAGCTTCGTCGAGAGCAAAAACAACCCCCAACCGCAATGGCGCGATGAAGACGTGGCCTCACTTAGCACACCGTCCTCGCATCAGGTATAATCATCTGGGCGTGTTGACTCGATACATGTGCAGGAACGACCCACTATCCCTACACATGGCTCATGTCTAATTATTCGAAAGTTCTTGATTTTTGAGGGGCCAAGATCCTTTCATCTCTAAAAGTTCGATCCTGGGCCTCTTCCTGGCCACTGGGGGGCCAGAAACAATCAGAAACGAGCACACTCAGAAACGAGCAGTATTAGAAATGAACGACGTATAGTGTCCCAGGCCCTCCCAGCACGGGTCCCCTCCCAGGGTGCGAGGGATCCTCTTTTGGGCAGGCAGTCACCCTCGGCGGCGCGCACGAGCGGGCGCGGCGCGAGGGCGGGCGACCGGCCTGGTGCGGCTCGTGCTCGTGCAGCGCGTGCCGCGCGTGCCAGGCGCTACAGAGCCGGCCGCAGGGGGGCACCTCGCCTCTCCGCGCGCTCCCTCGCTCTCCCTGCCACTCTGGGCCTCCCAGGGGGGGGGTCGAAGCAGACGGGGTCGGAGGCTCGCGCCGCATCGCCGATGCATCGCCGATGCGGCTCGATGCGGAGCCCGATTTTCTCCACGCCGGCGTCGCCGGCGCATCGCCGACGTCGACGACGCATCGCCGGTGCATCGCCGGTGCATCGCCGCTGCATCGCCGATGCATCGCGGATGCATCGGCGATGCGTCGGCGATGCGGCACGATCCTCCGACCCCTTCTACTCCGACCCCATCCAAGAGCCTCTACTCTCTCTCTCTCTCTCCTCCCCGTCATCCTCTTCCTCTCCAGCCTTCCCCAGCACGGTGGGGTTCCTTTCCCATCAGCTGGGAGGCTGGTGATTTCCAGCATCGGGCCTTCGTGTAGAACACAGATGGAAGGCGGAAGGGAGTGCTGGGAAGGCGCGGGGCGGGCCTCTGAGAAGGGCTGGGAGGGTCCTGACATCACGAGCAATGGACGTATCCATGTCCACGCCCTCGCGGCCTAGATTGCGGTGCGCAATCCCGGATACGCGGTCGCATGGACACGTTCCGCGTGGGGCATTTTCGAAAACATGCGCTGTATCCACGGGGTCGCGGCCCAAGTGCCCGCTTCGCGAGGCCGTGGATAATTACGCAGGTCGACGAGACGTTTTGGTCAGAAGCCTCCAGGCCCTTCCGCGAAGGTCCCTTCATGTTCGGAGGTCGCCTCCCTTGCGCCCCCCCCCCCCCCTTTCTGCTGTGCGCGCCGCCAAGCCTCGGCACCCAGCCCCCTGGGGTTCGCGCCGCGTCGGCCCGGCGGCGACGCCAACGCTGGCAGGGTGGAAGGCCGGCGGCGGCCTGGGCCAGGCAGGTTTTGAGCAAGTTCCGCTGGCGGAGGAGCGAGGTCTCTCGAGGTCGGTGGGTCCGCGCGGTGTCGGATGCCAACGCACAAGTCGTCACGACACGGAGCGTGCGATGGTCAAGTCTATGTCAACCTGGGCGGCCAAGACGAGCCGCGGGCCCCACAGGGAAGCATCGCGACAGCCTTCGGAGGGAGCGCCAAAGGAATCGATGGCATCCCTGCATCGGCAAGACAGGCACGTAGGGCAGGGTGCTCGCCATCCCCTGGATGCACTCCGTCAAGTTGGCCTGGGGCCACACGTCCGTGGAAGAGGAAGCGATGTTGATGCCGGTGCCCCCACCTCCCTCAGGCCTCAAGCGCCCTAAGCGGCACGCAGAGGATTCGCAGCCGGCACCTCGGATCCCACGTTGGTGGCTGCGCTGGAGCTACTCTGGAGCTGCGCAGGGCGCTTGGGGCTTCCTCCCGTCCTCACCTTTTTTTGGGGGGGGGGCACTCGTCGCCACGGATGGATTCGCTTCGGAATCTTGATCGGGACGCGCCCCATACAGAGGACCAGAGAGTGGTGTTGACGGCATCGTTTTGATGGGCGAAGGAAGGAGAGGATGAGGAGGAAGGAGGGCGAGGAGGGAGAACAGGATAAGGAGGGCGCTCAATAATGATGATTTGGAGGAGGAGGAGGAGGAGGAGGAGGAGGAGATGGAGGAGGAGGAGGAGGAGGAGTAATATGAGGAGTTAGTTTACTGGTGTGTTGGTAGATTGGTGCATGAAGGTGGAGGTACGTTTGGAGCCCTCCCTGCAGCCGTCTTCGTTGGCCGAGGGGCTGCAGGGAGGTCCTCGGCCCCCTCCATTGGCTATTGACGCCGTAAAGTATTGGTGTATTGGTGTATTGGTGGGAGAGGGCGACCCCCGCGGCCCCTACGATGGCAGCCGCAGGGGGCGTGAGGCCTATGATGGTCCTCACTGGTGAGGCCTATGATGGTCCTCACCGGGGTGGGGGTGGGGGAAGAGGGCAGAAAGTCGAAGCGGATGTCCGGCAGCAACGTCCTGGGGGGATACCTGAAAAAGGGGACTTAAAAACAACGTCTGTCCTCCGCCTATGTTCCAGAGGAGCCCCGTTCAAAAAGCAGAGGCAGAGTGAGAGAGAGAAGGAGAGAAGAAAGAGAGGGAGAGAGAGAGAGAGAGAGAGGCAGAAAGAGGCAGAGAGAGAGGGAGAGAAGAGAGAGAGGGAGAGAGGGAGAGAGGGAGAGAGAGAGAGAGCGAGGCAGAGACGAGAACAAATGTGCACGCCTGGGGGGGGGGGTCGGCCCCCGGACCCGGAAGATACGAAATACACAGATTTCGTATCACGAGGAGGAGGAGGAGGAGGGAGAGAAGAAGGAAGACGGAGGGAGGGTGAGCCGACGAATTGGGTGCACATCGAGGGCCCGATGGTATACACTGCACGTTAGCACGTGGAACGTGGCGGGGATGCGGGAGGAGTATCTTGATACCTTCCCTGGGCAGGTGTCCGACCACTACCCATGGAACCTATTTGTTTGAAAGACAGTTTCACACATATTGATTGTATCGAATGGCTTCGGCCCATCCCGCCACCATGCCTGGGTTGTGTGTATGAAGCCTATTGGATGTTCGTTGGGATCTCGTGGGAGGCCTCCTTCTCTGGGGTCTCTCGGGGGCCTCTCGGAGGCAGTGTGGAGTCCTCTTGTGGGGCCGTTTGGTGCATCTTGGGAATTGGGAACTGTTTTGGGGCCTCTAGAGGCCTCTTTTGGGATTCTTGGAGCCTCTGGGGCCTCTTGGGGGCTTCCTGGGCGCCTCCAGGGGCCTCCTGGAGGCCTCTTGGGGCGGAAGGCTATGATTTCCTTTCGTTATATCTCTCTTGGGCCCCTCTCGGGGCCGTGTTGGGGCTCTCTTCGGCTGTCTTCAGCTCCTGGGCCGTCATTGGGCCCTCTTGGAGGCCTCTTGGTCCTTTTGGGGTGGTTTTGGAGCGTCGGAAAGCCGAAAGGCGAGAACGCCCAAATCTTCCCGAATCCTAGAGGGGACATTAATGATTTGTCCTCTTGGGGCCCTCGTAGGAGGCCTCTTGGAGGCTATCTTAGACTGGCTTCGTGGCCTCTTGGGGCCCTCCAGGATCTGCCTTGGGTCCCTCGTGGCCCCGAAACCGTCATGCGACAAGTGCCGGCAGGTGCACGCGGGAAGCCCCAAGAGATGTCGGCGGGCGGGGTCCGGACCCCCAGGGCACTCCTGGGGATTGGGGACCGAGGCGCCGAGGATTCGGCAAAGGACCTGAGGACATGCCCACTCTCTGCCCAGAGCACGGTGGCGTATCAAATTGGAGGCCCACCATCTTGTGTTCATCGCTTCTGACCCACGATATCGAGTTTTAGAGCGGCCACAGTCACCGTCAAAGATCGGTGGCGCGACAAAGCGGATGGTTCAAATTAGCTTGGGATGGACAGCGGTGGGTCGCAGTGCATGTCGGTAAGCATTGCTCAGCTATTGCAGTGCAAATGACGGACTGTTCTCTTTCGCTACCCGTTCAAGTTTTCGCGGGCATGTTGGCAGAAATGACGGACCTCATCCAGCAGTTCAGGTTTAAGACAATCATCGTCGGCATGGACGCGAACATTCGCAAGCATCCAGTTGCTGATCTTTGCCACGTGTGCGATTGGGCCCTTGGGTATGAGGGCGAACCACTTGATCAGGACCTCGAGCGGATTTTCTCTCCGGACACGTCCTTCACCTCTCCGACACATTCCCCGACGATTCTGGCATCTACTTTGCAAGCCGCACGAACTTGAAAGCTGAAATTCTCTCGGAACAGTGGCATACTCAAGTCGATTCGATCGCTGGCAAGCCCCATACGGCCAAACGCTCGCGACAAGAATCGCGTCGCCCAGGGCGCCCCAGGACTCCATCGGGTCCCCGAGGCCATAGGGGAATCGGGCGCTAGTGTGGGGGGGGCAGCCACTGGCCAGCGGGGCTCTGCTGATCGTGCGGATGGCGGCTTGCCGGTTCTCGTTATTTCGATAGCAGGCACTGCGCTGGCGAAACCTATGTTCGGATGCAATTCCTGGGAGGTCGAATTCTGATTTTGCCCTGGTCCGAATCTGGCTTTATCCCGCTTGATCCCGCTGAATCCGGCGCAATCCTGCTTAATCCGAGGCCCACTCCGGCGTAACAGCTCCCGAATGGGGCTTAATCCTCCTTAGTGTTTCCGACGAAAGCCTCCCAGTAGATGCCTCCTAACCCATGCGCGCGAAACGCACGACGGTTTGAAACCATTGCCTACCGTGTCGCGCCATCGGTTCTGGCCCAGGACGCTGCGGCGCGACACGCTGAACACGTCCGACTCCCCGAGTGCCGACGTCCCGGGTTTTTCGCAAGCCCCCCGCCCGATGAGGCAGAGCGACGCGCGAATCAGTTTGCAGGGCACGGCGCCCAGCAGGGGCCGCCGCCGCGATGCGCCAAGCACCGGCTGGGTGCCGCTGCTGTGCGCCTGCTGGCGGTTTCGTCGGTGCCCATGGTCTCCTTTGTAGAGGGGATGCCCGTGACCGAGCAGGGAGGATGCAGGGACGGGAAGGGAGGAGGGAGGAGGGCTGTGTGGCGGGAGGCGGAGATGGAGAAGGGGCGGGGGAGGGCGGGCAGCCACAGCAGGGCGAGGAGGGCGAGGGCCAGCGCGCCCGCGCTGGTTGCTCAGTGTTTTTGCTGCCCGCTTGGGAGGATCTTGTCAGGACTGGCCAAAGGCAAGGAGAGTACGGCGCCTTGTCCGGGGAGTTGTTGGACACACGAGCTCGTGTATAGGTACTCAGAGAGAGAGAGAGAGGAAACAAAAAATGAAGAAGAGAGAAAGTGAGAAAGAGAGAGAGAGAGAAGCAAATAGAGAACAGAGAGAGAGAAAGAAAGAGAGAGCGAGAGAGCGAGAGCGAGAGAGAGAGAGAGAGACACACACAGTAAGACAGTTCCATGGAAAGTGGCACGCGGAAGCGGGAATGCAATGCACAGCGGCAAAGGGAGAACGGTGCGATGTGATGGCGTAGCAAACACAACGTGCAAGCGTCGTGATGTTTCGTCGTGTGCGTATGCGTATGCTGTCAGGCGTTCGGTATATTCCTTGTTTGGTTTCTGCATCCCTTTGTTGATTAATTGTGGCTGGAACTGATGACGCGCCTCTGCCAAACATGCTCCTGCTGCTGGTCATCAGCGACCTCTTCCTCCTCGAAGGTGTGCCGTGGCTCAGGTGGCTGTTTGCCATTGCTGCCACATTCTCCGCGCGCAATTCTGTAGATTTTCTAGCCGAAAGGGGACCATGTTCAAGAACACCTACCAGTCTGGATTCTTATCCGTGCTGTACTCCATCGGCAGCAAGCCTCTGCAGATCTGGGACAAGAAGGTGCGCAACGGGCACATCAAACGCCTCACCGATGCCGATATTCAGTCCAGCGTGTTGGAGATCATGGGCACAAACGTAAGCACAACATTCATCACTTGCCCAGCCGACGCGGACAAGACCCTCGGGATCAAGCTGCCCTTTTTGGTGATGATCATCAAAAACTTGAAGAAGTACTTTACGTTCGAGGTGACTGTTCTTGACGACAAGGACGTTCGGCGACGCTTCCGCGCGTCGAACTACCAGAGCACCACTCGCGTGAAGCCGTTTATCTGCACCATGCCCATGCGTTTGGACGAGGGCTGGAATCAGATCCAGTTCAACCTGTCCGATCCCAAAGGCTCACGCCGTTCCGACGACCTCGAGCTGGTGGCCGACGAGCACGTTGGTCCCGTCCACGCCCTTTCCATTCCTTCTTGTAGCGTGTTCGGTGGTGGCGGCATCTCGTGTGACGTTCCTGGTTTGCCCACCAACGTTCCGTCCCACATCGCTGTTCTAAACACTTCAAGGCCTCCCAATGGGGCCAGAGCACACGGGTTTGGAGGATCTAGCCGCATCGCCGACGTATGGGCGATGCACGGCGATCTGCAGCTTTTTGTTCTCCATCCCTCCGTCGCCGATGCATCGGCGATGCGGGCAACTTTCTTGGATGGCGCCAACTATACATCATCACCTAGGGGGATACACACACCAGACAACAGACTCCCTCAGATGCTTCTTGCTGCCCCATAGACCCTCTACTGAAACAAAGTATCCAATCGCTTCGCTCAGTCCGCCAGCCCTTATTGCCCTGCCGCTTTGGGGCCGTGTTGGGGCCTCTTGGGGGCCTCTGGTAGGCAGTTTTGAGTCCTCTTGGGAGCTTTGTTGGGGCCTCATGCGGGCCTCTGGAGGTTTATTGGGGTGACTCTTGGGGGCCTCTTGGGGCCTCTTGGGGGCACTTCTTTTCAACTCTCCTCAGTATGCCCTCTCTCCCGCCCTTGATTCCCTCCTCCTCTCCTTTACATGTGATCTCGAAACGCCACAATTAATTGCCATGTTTGACGTACCTGATCTCGAACCTTTTCCACGCGCATGACCCAGATGTCCTTTACAAGTCCTAGGATATGGCAGGTTCCCTCTCTCTCTCTCTCTCTTTCTGTCTGTCTGTTGACATCTTGCGTGTTGTAACGAGGCACACATGTCTATGCCAGCTTTCTTCCACCGGCTGAACACTTTCCTTGCGACAATCTCCACGTCAAGTATCTTACCTATACGACCACCCTACGGGTGAAAAGGAGGTTGGGGGGGGTGGAGGGGCCGAGCAATGGGCAACAGTGGTGATTGTTCTCCTGACGATGCCAGTGGAGATTTTTTTGTCGGAGGTCTGCTGAAGCCCCTCTTGTCGCCACTGACTAAATCGCTTCAAAATATTGCTCAACGGCTGCCCTTCGGCGGTCGAGACCGATGTACCGCCATTATAGCTCTTTTCCCTTTGCTCAAACAGCGCAAACGGCTGGAAACCCAGCGAAAGCGTGCCTCATGCAGTCAGAGAATACCGAAGCGCTGGCAAAGCCTGGCATACACCGTGTCCCCCTAATAGCACTACAGCAAAGCCCGCGCGCAGGGAAAACCCGTGCGCTGGCAAAGCCCGCGCACTGCAGCAAAGCCCGTGCCCCCTAATAACACTACAGCAAAGCCCCTGCCCTCTGGCAAAGCCCCTGCGCTGGCAAAGCCTTGCGCAGCCCGTGCCCGCTGGAACAGCTGCATGATTACTAATAGCACGTCTGCGTCGATATAATCAATCGCCGTCGGCAGCGACGACTCCGAAGACGCAGTCCTGGCCACTGATTTGCCAACAGCAAAGGTCGCTCACTCGCTGGAACGGCTCGTAGACTCTGCGGCGGGCGCAGGTCCTCAACCCTACGCCCGTGCCCGGCCACGTGGGCAGGCGCTTTCGGAGGTGGCGCTTTGAAAGGAACGTCAGACACGTCCAGCACGTAGCGCACGCCGCGCGCAGCAACCACTGCGTCTCCGCTGCCAGAGGCCGGCCGCGCCTCCGGAGGCGCTTTGAAACCTGCGGGGGCTGGCAAAGCCTGGCCCGCGCCCACGCCTACGCCGTGCCCGGCCACGTCGGCAGGCGCTTTCGGAGGTGGCGCTTTGAAAGGAACGTCATACACGTCCAGCACGTAGCGCGCGCCGCGCGCAGCAACCACTGCGTCTCCGCTGCCAGAGGCCGGCCGCGCCTCCGGAGGCGCTTTGAAACCTGCGGGGGCTGGCAAATCCTAGCCCGCGCCCACGCCGACACCGTGCCCGGCCACGTCGGCAGGCGCTTTCGGAGGCGTTTCGAAAGCAGCGCGTCGCAGCTGCGCCCGCGCCGCCTGCCCGCGCTCCTGCGCCACCAGAACCGCCATGGGAGTTGCTTTGAAACCTGCGGGGGCTGGCAAAGCCTGGCCCGCGCCGTTGGGGGGGACGTCTCCGCCCGCGGGGGCTGGCAAAGCTTGGCCCGCGCTCGAGCCATGCCCGGCCATCTCGGCGGGCGCGGTTGCGCTGGCCCGCTCGGGTCGCACATGGTGCAACTGCAATTGATGAGAACTGCTGCGACAGCGACGGCGGCGACAGCGGCGATGCGACGAGAGAAAAGATCAATGACGAGAACGGGGCAGTGAGAAAGATGACGGACGAGAGTGGAGGGCGGTGGCCTTTATTTGCCCTCGCCGTCGCGGCGGCATTCCTTGCTCTCACGCCGGCGGTGGCGTCGTCGTCGTCGTCGGCGTCGTCGTCGTCGTCGCGTGCCAGTCGTCGTCGTCGTCGACGTCGTCGTCCCTCTCCCCCAACCTCCTTATCATCTGAGCCGCTTGTTGAACGGGTCCGACGACGACGACGACGAGGCCTTTTTTTTGTTCGGGGCCTCTTGGATCCCCTCTCGTCGCCACGGCCGAGATCGCCTCGAAATCTTCGTCAGAACGCGGCCAATCGGCGGTCGACAGCGACGCACCGCTATCATTTTTTTCGTGCTCTTCCGAGCTCGCACCGCTAGCCGAAGCAGGGCAAACGGCTGGAAAGCTTGCGAAAAGTCGTCTCATCTGGTCAGGGCATACGGGAGCGCTGGCAAAGCCTGGCGCAGCCCGTACCCCCTGCATTCACTTCTTGCTTGGCAAGATTGCCTGGGTTCCCTCCGCGTTGTGCCAAGTGCCGGGCGGGCAGCGTCTGTGCGCGCCGCGCGCGGCGAGACCAGGCGGAGCTGCGACAAACTCGCAAAGTGTGGTGCGACACACTCGCACCATGCCGCTCGACACACATGCCGCTCGAGACACATGCCGCTCTCTCCGTGTCCCCGTCCATGCCAGTCGACACGAAGACTCCCTGCGCAAAATCGGCAGCACAGCCGGCCCGCTCACTGATGGTGAGGATTCGGCAGCCCGGCCGGCCCGCTCACTGACAACGACGACCAAGGGATCTTTCCGCGGTAGTGCTTGTGGCGGTCGTGGCTCGGCGGGCGCTGGCAAAGCCTGGCGCCCTGGAGACTGGTCCAACTGCTGGTGCAGGCGCCGGGAATGCGGGCGCAGGTGCTGGTGTAGGAACCGGAGCTGGCGTCGGCGCTGGCGGCGGCAACGCGTAGCGGCCGAGGCTCTTGTACCGCCGCCCGCCGCCACGTGGTCGAGCAACCACTGGAGGCCCCAGACCAAGTACTGCAGGTACCAGAAGATCTCATCCACTGGCTGGGGGTTGTCGTCCTGAGAGTGTCGCCGATTTCGCCCTGCAAGGTCGCGGTCCGCAGGCGCCCCTGGGGCGCTTACGGGCCGCGAGCCTGCAGGGCCAAATAGACGGCGCTCCGGTCCGGATCCCACGGCTCGTAGGTCAAGATATCCTCCGTGCGGCTGTGGACCAGCTGGGCGAACATCGTGATCGAGTGCTGCATCGGGGTCGGGCTTTGGCCGACAGGCTGCCGATGGGCGCTGGGCAGCGGACGCCACGCCGCGCCAAAACGCAGGCGACGAGCGCCGATGGGCAGGCGCGGCGATCGGCTGCCCTCGCGACGCCGGATGTCGGGCTGCGGCAGGTCCATCCGATGGAGCTGCAGTAGTCGTGGGAAGCGTGGCGCTAGCAAAGCTTGGCGCAGCCTGCGCGGTTGAGCGAGTACACGCGCATGTGGGGGAAACTAAGATCGAGCCGAAATGGATACGGTGGCCGTTGGGGGCGCTTTTGGGCTCTCTTGGGGCCGTCTTGGGGCCGTCGTGGAGTCCTTGAAGGCCGTCTTGCGGCCGTCTTGGGGTCCTCTCGCAGCGCCCTGGGCAAGTCTTTGGGGCCATCTCGGATCCTCTTGGCCCCTCTCCTGGGGCCTCTTGGCTCCTCTTGGCGCCGGCGTCCTGTCGGCGTATCCCTTTTTATGTAGACGGCCCAACTCCAGGGGTCCAGACGCACCACTTTTTCGATGCGCTTCCAGCCGCGGCGGCGAGCAGGGCCTCCGAGGGCCAGGAAACCTCGACCCAACCTCGGCGCCAACCTCAAAACGGGACCGGGGCCCCTCCCAGGGTCCCGCGCCGGCGTCCTGTCGGCGTATCCCTTTTTATGTAGACAGACCAACTCCAGGGGTCCAGACGCACCAGTTTTTCGATTCGCTTCCAGCCGCGGCGGCTCCTCCTCCTCCCCCTCCTCCTCCTTCTCCGAAGCCGGCGCCGGAGCCCCAGGCAATTTTCACTCGGCACCCCGGTCCAGCAACGACCAACGACCGATGAACGGCGCTGACGACGACGATGACGACGACACTAAAACGGTGCCGCAGCTCCAGGCAATTGTTACTCGGCACTCCGGTCCAGCAGCGACCAACGACCGACGACGACGACGATGACGACGACGACGACGACGATACGTGGGCAGTCGTGGGAAGTTTTTTTTGGGAGCCTCTCACAAAATATTTGCTGCCCAGCTTTCCTGGGCTGTCTTGGGGCTGTCTCGGTGCCCTCTTAGAGCCCCGTGGGCGGTCGAGGACGACTCGCCGGCGTCGTAACTCTTTTTTCCTTGCTCTGCCGGGCTCGCGCCAACATCCGAGGCTGGAAAGCCAGCGAAAGTGCGCATCATCTGGCCAGGGAATACGGAAGCGCTGGCAAAGCCTGGCAAAGCCTGGCGCAGCCCGTGTCCCCGCAATAGCACTACAGCAAAGCCCGTGCGCTTGGAAAGCCCGCGCGCTGGCAAAACCCGCGCACTGCAGCAAAGCCCGTGCCCCCTAACAGCACTACAGCAAAGCTCCTGCCCTCTGGGAAAGCCCCTGCGCTGGCAAAGCCTGGCGCAGCCCGTGCCCGCTGGAACAGCTGGGCTGGCAAAGCCCGGCGCCATCACGATTCGCGCGACAGATAAACATAATGCAAATCATTGTTGCCCATGTGAACAACGACGGTGGCGTTTTCTGGCCCATAGGACGTGATTGCCCACTGCACCAGCGCCGTCGGTGGAGTGAAGGGGACGAGGTACCCTGCTTGAGCCGAGCCCCGCTAAGCGGAAAGCTTCGATCTACCTCTTGCTCTGCCCCTACTCAGATGGCACGGGCCCGAACGCGAGCAGGGCTCTCCAGAAACAATAATCAAGATACGGGGGCCATTTCTACGTCCTTCACGGGCCTCGGTGCGGCGCGACATTGCACCGTGGATCGGCCCCCGAAGCGGCGCAACATTGTGCGTGGTGGAGGAGAACTTGAGAGAATACCTCATTCGCTGTCTCATTCGGTATCACTACCGATCTCACAATCGATATCACTATCGGCGTCATCATCATCAACATCAACATCATCATCATCGCCATCATCAACATCATCTCATCATCACCATTACCATCATCATCATAATCACCATCATAATCATCATCAACATCATCATCATCGGGACACCGACGGGACACCGACGGGACACCGGCGGGACACCGGCGGGACACCGCGCGCCACCGGCCGCCCGGCGGAGAATCATTTGGTCCGGCCGCGCCTCAGCCACAGGAGACTTTCCTCTCGCCCGCCCACGCAGCTTCGCCTCGCCCGCACGGCACGCACGAACACGAAACCGAAATCGATTTCCCGATAGGGGGGCGCTCCGTTCCACTTCGATCTCACCCCCCAACCTCCGATCTCTCTTTCTCGCTCTTCAGTCTCTCCATCCCTACCCTTCCTATTCTCTTTCTTTCTACTCATCTCTCTCTCATATTCTCTCTCTCTCTATCCCTCTCTGTTCCCCCATATGTGCTTGCACTGAAGGGGCCATAGCAGGTGTAGAAGGGAAACGCGAATGTTTCGGGCCGATTTCAGTTGGCGGCTACGTTCCCGGACTCCCGTTTTTGGTTTCAGGCCGATGGGCGGCCAGGTTCCCGGGTTCCCAGGTCTAGGGTTTCAGGCGCGGTGGTGTCCCTGGTTTCTCGAGTTTGCCGGTGTCTGTCAATGTGGACTAGGACTTAGGACCTCGGCCTTTGCGACCACAGTCCGACTGCGTCTTGTGTAGCGCAAAGACGTTGGGACATCTCAGACAGAAGAGAGCAGAGTTTAATAGAGATGGCAGGGACGATATCAGATGTGTACGTTGGCCAGCGGGGGCCCGAAACACGGGGTGTTTTGCAGTGAGTGCTGTGCAATCTAGGCGGCGTGCTGCAACCTACGCAGCGCAAACCAATGCAAGTCAACACGAGGCAACACCAAAGCAATCCAGTGCAAAGCACCGCGACACAATGTTCACACATGCAACCCAATGCAACGTAGCGCAGACACGTGCCAAACAATGTAAAGCAATGCCAACCAACGACTTGCAATGCAGGGCAATACAAAACAATGCGAAGCAGTGCGAAGCAACGTCATAACATGCCAAGCAATGCCAAGCAATAGAAACGCAACGCAAAACAGTGCATAGCTGTGCAGCGTCATGCACAGCATTTCCACGCAACGATAAGCAGTGCCAAGACATGCTAAGCCATGCAGCGCAGTGCACGGCGATGCGAAGCAATCCAGGGGCGACGGCTGCGATGGGCGGTGGTGAGCGGCGACGAGCCGGCTGGACCTCCACTGGGGCTCAGTTACAAGCAGCGACTGCGACGGCGACGGGCAGCCACGAGCCGGCGGGACGGGCCCAGTCACCAGCGGTGGCGGCGGCGGTGACGAGCAACGACGGGCGGCAACCAGCCGGTCCGCCATTCTAGCCGAGTTGCACTAGGGACAAAGTGAGAGTCCTTTCAGTGCAAGCGTCGCTTGGGGAATCTAGATGTACATGTACACACGCACAGATACATGTTCTTATGTGTATGTGTATGTGCACAAACAGTCGGCCCAGATTAGTAGGTCGACCCTGCCAAATCAAGGGTACCCTTGTGTCCTGTGTCTCGCGGCCCATGTTTCCTGCATTTCTATGGCAATGGGGCCCTTGGAAGGGTCTTGTGTCCTCCCGCGTGCCCTGCCCAGTCAAGTCCGACTGTCTTTCCCAAACAGTGCTTGCGCCTAGGGATTTATGCTTCTATCTTTAAAAAACTGAGCATGCCCGTCGGTCTGGCGGCTGTGTGGTCGCCGTCCCGGACCCGTCGCCGCCCGCCTTCTGCGCGTGCCCGTCGGCCTGGCGGCTACGTGGTAGCCGTCGCCGGCTCGGCGCCGCCCGCCGCCTCGCCGCAGCCCGCTTCGCCTTACGTTGCGCTGTTTTGCTCCGCGCTGCTTTGCATGGCTTCACGTTGTTTGGTGTTGCGTTGCGTTGCCTCCTTCGCGCTGCTGTGCACTGCGCCACGTAGATTGCACCACACGGGCTGCACCACACAGACTGATCAGCATAGATTGCACCACATAGCTTACACCACATGTCTTGCAACACCTAGCTTGCGCCACATGGCTCACGCCGCACATGTTGCACCACATAGCTTACACCATATAGAGTGTTTAACATAGATTGCACCACCATATGCCTTGCACCACGTAGATTGCAACAAATAGCTTACACCAAATAGATTGCACTACACATGTGGCACCACGTAGTTCGCACCACGTGGACGCACAACATAGCTTTCACAGAGCAATTTTCTGCACATAGCTTCAACCACGTAGATTGCACCCCGTAGCTTCCATCATATAGCTTGCATCACATAGCTTTGACCACAAGCATTCGTATGAACATGTACGTAATACAGAGCAGAGAGCAGAGAGATGTGAGGGAGAGAGAGAGAGAGAGAGAGAAGCAGAGTAAACATGTGAGTAACAGAGGTGAAAAGTGAGACAGAGAGAGAGAGAGGTCGAGAGATAATCAACTTGCAACCACGGTCAAACAGGGATCGAGAGATAGGGAGTGAGAGAGACAGAGAGAAAGAAAGAAATAAAGAAAGTAAGAGAAAACGAGAGATTGATAGATAGACCCCTCGGGGCTCGGCGGGTTTCACCCGCCGCGCCTACGGCACAAACTACATCGAGACCCTACGCCTGCAGCTGCACGCGAACTGCCGCATCCGCAGGACCTTTCATTTTTTCGGTTGCCCCCCCCCATCCTCAGGCCTTCCTCCAACTTCTACCCCTCCGACCCCGCTCCCGCCTCCCTCCATCCTCCCTTCTCCTTCACCTCCAAATCTCAGCCCTCGTTACTCCTCCTTGGCCTTTTCTCCTCTCCTTCTCTTCTCCGTCCTCATTCCTCCCTCGCTGCTGCCGCATGCCTCCCTGGTCCCCTCCCTCATCCTCTCCCGCGCCCCCTCCCTTCCTCTCCCCTCTTCTTCTCATCCTCTTCCTCCTCCCCCTCCTCCTTCTCATCCTCCCTGATTTGTTCTGGGAGGGAACGACGAGGGAGTGAGCGCCGCGCGTCGTCTTCTTCGAAGCAGAACATGGCATAAGCACTGACCTGCGGGTAACCGCGTGGATGGATCGGGCCAGAGGCGGCGCTGGAGGCGACAACAGAACATACGGCCTGGAGGTGCTGCGTCGCGTGCCGCTCCGCCAGTTCTGGCCCACCACGCTTCGGCGCGACACGCTGACCGCGTCCCCATCTCCAGGCGTCAGCGTCCCGAGCTCTAACTGGCCCTCCGCCCCGCGGAGCGGAGCGGCGCGCTGTCGTGGCGCGTGGCCAGGGCCGCCGCCCCCTGTCACGCTCAGCAGCGGTCCCGGACCGCAAACTCTCGGAGGTCCGCGCGGATCTCTCTTCGGGGGCGGCCAAAGGGGGGGTGATGATTGGGGGGGGTGGATATCAATCATGGCGTGGGCCATGATATTTCCTCTGATTTCATGGCGCCTCTTACGTCTCGTCCCCCTGTGGGTCGCGCACATGCCGCCAGCCATGAATTGCGCCCCCCTTCTTTCACGCCCCCTCTTGGCCGCCCCCAAACTCTCGCTGGCGCTGGGCACCACCCCAGGCGGCGTGCTCCAGCGGCGGGGAGGGGGTCGTTGGTGAGAGTTTTGTGCTCATGTCTTATGATGTTCTAACCTACTTTAGCCTTGACCGCCAGAAATAATTGTGAGCACCAAAACAATACCGAATCTCAAGGAGTTTCACCTGTCGGGCCCCTGTTTCGAAACTTTTTCAACACCCTTCCGACACTTTTCGTGGTGCTCGAAGTTATTCCTGGGATGTGGTCATGAAGTACGATGGGAGCAACGCAACTCATGCCCTGGTGTCTTCGCCTACAGCCAAGACGCTGAAATAGGACCACTCTGGGTTCCGGAGGGGCCCTCGTTTTCGGGCTGCTCCTCTTCCCCTCGGACTGCGGAGCCTGTTCGTGGCCGAGGCTCGCCGCGCCAGAAAAATCCTTTCTCGTTCCTTGGCCGTTGTCCTTTTTTTATGGTTGCACGATGGCTGCATCTGTCTCCTCCTCCTCATCCCGCCTCCCGTCCCTTCTTCCCTTGCCTTTTGAATCCTGCATCGGAGCTGGTAAGTCTGCGGCCGGAAGCTAGCCTAATCTGGCACAACCTCGTCGAATTGTGCTCAGAATTTGGGCTAATCAAGCTGAGTGAGTGGTTGCTGAATTTGGGCAACCAGCCCGTGGGCATGTGCCCGAAGACTTTCCCGGAGGACCCTCCTAAGTTAGCTTCCTCCCTCTTCTTCCCTCCTCCGAGCGAACGAGGAAACGTCCACTCCAGAGCGTTCCAGAACGCTCTCAGAGCGTCCCGGCAGAGCCCGCCGGATCTCAGACCTTCCCGACTTATCGCCTTTCGGTCTCGTCCTCGGCCTGGTCTCGTCTTTTGCTCCTCCTCCACGGGCCGCCCCGAGGGCCGTGCCCCGCAGAGGGTCGCCGTGCAGGCGGCCCCGCGAGGTTGGCTCGATGCGGGACCCCCTGGGGGGCAGTGGCGACCATCCAGCCGCTACCATATCCGGACCCCCCTGGCGGTGCTCATGTCGGGCCGGGCGAAAGGGGGGGATTGGGAAAGGGGGGGTTACGAAATCTGCTGCATGCAGCTGGTTTCGGCCCCGCCGCCGGGCCCATTCCTCGATACATGGGCGCCTCCGGCGCCGGGAGGCGCCGGGAAAATCAGCTACGTGAGCTGATTCTCAAACCCCCCCTTTGCTATCCCCCCCTTTCGCCCGACCCGACATATCCGGACCCCCCTGGCGGTGCTCATGGGCGGGAAACGTGCGGGGCGTTCCAGCGAGGGTCCTGCCCTCGAGGATCGGAGGAGTCGTCATCTCTTCCGCGGCGGAAGGGCGACGGAGGGTCGGCTGAGGTAAGGCGGGGCCGCCTCGGCCGGCAGAAGCCGGCGGAGGGGCGGCGCAAGGTGGCAGAAGTACAAAATGCGCCCCCAGGAGATGAAAACGTTTTTGGGTTTAGGATTTCGGGAATCCGCCACACCCCAGCCCCGCGGCGGTGCTCGTGGGCGGGGAACATATCGGGTGCCAGCCGAAGCTTCGATCGATGGAAGTCGAGTTGGAGATGCCGCGGCCGGCGTTTCAGGGGAGCGCGCAGGCTCCGGCCAGGTAGGAGGCCCCCGAGGGGCCCGAGATCTCTGCGGTCCCCGCTGCTGTTCTTGCTGTGCACAGCGCCGACGCTGAGGATCCGTATGCGCGCGCATGTCCATACCCACGGCCTCGCGGGCTGGGCCTCGGGGCCGCGACCCCGTGGATCTGGCGTTTCTTTTCGCGGACTCCCCGCACGGATCACGTCCGGCAGTCTTGAGCGCTAGGGCGTGGATGTGCACCATGCACATGCTCGCTGCTCGTGAGGTGCGCCCTTGTGGCTCGTCCAACCCCCGCTCCCCCCCCAAGAGCGGGCTCCGCGGTCCCGTGGTCGAAGCCCCATCTCACGAGAAAAAGCTAGTCCTGGGGGAGGCCCGCTGGATTCGGGAACCGCCTCCTTCAGGACCCGCTGCCTCCACGCAAGTTTCCGACAGCGGTTGGTGGACATTTCCCTCGTCTCCCCCGTTTGTCCTTCCATGGCCCGTAGACCCCTTATCTGCTTCTCATCTGATCTAGGTCGCTCACGGTAAGAGACTGTACCTGCCAGGTTTGCCTTGCTTGGCGGGTCCCTGCTTCGCTTCTTCGATCCGTCGCTGTCCCTTCGCCGTGGTGTCTTTCCTCTGGTCCTCGCTCATTCGCCTTTAGTGTTGCTGCCCGCGAGCTAGCGCTTGACTCTAGCCCGCGTCCCCCAAAAATGCTCCTCCTCCTCCTCCTCCTCCTCCGCGTGCTCCCCCTCCTCCAAACATGCACAGCTTGCAGGAGGCTGCCATCCCAAGCCATCCCAGCGGAGGCCTGATGGCCGCCACCTTGAGACGGGACAGGCCCTCCCGGGAGCCCAGGCGGTGGCCAGGAGCCCCCTCTCCGTATCCACTTCCTCTCCTCTTCCTCCTCGCGTCTCTTTCCCATTCCTCCGAAAGCGAAGGCGTGTCCGTGAGTGCCATGGGGTGCTCGATACCCAGACCCCCTCGTGTTGTGAACAAAACTACGGGAGGTTTTTCTCAATTTTCGGTTTCCCGGGGCCCGTTACCAGGCCCCAGGCCTGCAAAAACAATTCGGGATGAAACACCAACGGGGAAGGGGTCAAGATCTCTGCGGTTTGATTTTCCCTACCTAGGCTCTGCCTAGAAGGTTTCTTACTCGGTACGCTTAAAGGGCCGGGCAGTGGGGCCCGCCCCGGGCGGTTCCCCCAGTATCCGCCCCGCGGTTCCCCCAGTTACGTCCTATGTGCTTAGCGTCGCTTATCTCATCTTAGCCTTAGCCTAGCTTAACTTAGCTTAGCTTAGCCTAGCCTAGCTTAGTTTAGGTTAGCTTAGGTTAGCTTAGCTTAGCTTAGCCTAACCTAGCTTAGCTTAGCTCAGCTTAGCTTAGCGCAGCGCAGCATTAGCATACCATAACACAGCATAGGATAGCATAGCGTATCATAGTATCGCATAGCATAGCATAACGCAGCATAGCACGGCACATCATAGCATATCATAGCATATCATAGCATAGCGCATCATATCATAACATATCATACCATAGCTTAGCATAGCTTTGTGCAGCATATCATAGCATATCATATCATAACATAGCATAGCGCAGCATAGCCTAGCATAGCATAGCATAACATAGCGCAGCAAATCATATCATAACATCGCATGGCACAGCGCAGTATAGCATATCATAGCATCGCATAGCATAGCATAGCGCAGCATAGCATTGCGCAGCATATCATATTATATCATAGCATATCATAGCATTGCATAGCGCAGCATATCATAGCATACCATCGTATAACATATCGTAGCATAGTACAACACAGCATACCACAGCATAGCATAGCATATCATGGCATAGCGCAGCATAGCACATCATATCATAGCCTAGCATAGCACTACTACTATGACTACTACTACTACTACTACTACTACTACTACTACTACTATTATTACTACTTCTTCTACTACTACTACTACGACTACTACGACTACTACGACTACCACTACTACGACTACTTCTACTATTACGACTACTACGACTACTACTACTACTACTACTACTACTACTACTACTACCGCTACTGCTACAACTGCGACGATGAGGAGAAGGAGGAGGACGGCGTTTACCATTACTACTAATATTGCTTTCCTCGGGGCTCCAACTCCTAGGTAGGGTCGCTCTGTGATAATTCCTTTTTTTTCTGTCTCTCTCTCTCTCTCTATGTATATATATATATATATATATATAAAAACACGACGTCGGTAGTCTGGGTACGGTTCCTAGGTTTGGCGCGATGGTGGCCGAGGGAGCCACCCAGTTCGCAGCTTGCCGTCTGCTCTGGAGCTGGCGACAACTCTGTTGCACCGTGCTTCTCCTCCTCCTCCTCCTCCTCGTACTGGCCTGCGAAGGATCTACTTCTCCGACAGGCTGTACAGCGAGGAGGAGCCGGCAGCCCAGCCCTTGTCTCTGGGAGTGCGTGGACTGGCTTCTCCAGCGGCTCGAGAGAAAGTGGCGCCCAGGAGGTTGTCTTTGCAGTTGTCGTTTTTTTTTTCTCGATAAAGTGAACATCGAAACACAGTGGGCGCATTAGAGAAGACCTGCCCGCAGGTTCCCCACGAAAATGTCTCATTTGGCCGATGGCCCCAGGGACCCACAGAAGCTCTGGGGCACCTTGTGACTCTCAAGGACCAACCAATACGGTGCCCCAGGATTCTCGCACAGCAAGAGTTATTTCGCATGTGCTTACTGTAGAGAAAATAATTGTTGCAGGTGCGCACAGATCGGCGATGGACACCCTCGGCGGCGCCTCCAGCGGCGTCCCGGCGCGCTCCGCGCGCCAGGGAAGGGGGCCAGCGCCGATCCGAGAGATCTCCGCCAGAGGCCCACAAGTGTTTTGATGGAGATGTCTCTTCTACTGAAGCTTGGACCATGGGGGTTCTCGACAGCCGTCCCCTGGACCGGTTTTTCATCCCCGGGCCATTTTCGCCGGTCCATGGGGACCATGTGGGCCTTGTGCCGCCAGCGAGGGCCCCTGGAGGGCGAAGATTGTCACAAGTTTTGTTTTGTGTATGTGACGTATTCCAGATACGCACGTGTCACGGCGCTTGAGCACCGTCCTCGTCATCCTCGTCGTCGTCGTCGTCTCCTTGTCCTCGTCGTCCCCGGTCTCCTTGTCCTCGTCGTCCGCGGTCTCCTTGTCCTCGTCGTCCTTGTCCTCGTCGGCGTTTCCTCCGCGTCCCCGTCCTCCTTCGGATCCCCCCACATCCACAATCGGCGCCTGGAACTGGCCCCCGGGCACGGGCTGGCACGTGTTTTCGAACGGGACCCTCGCAGGGCCGCGAGGAGGCGGAGGCCGCGAGGAGTGCCCCGTGAGCGCCCCAGAAGCCTTGCGCTGTCGAGCCCCTGGGCCTCGAGCCAGCCGGCACGCTGGCCGCCAGAAGCTCCCAGGTTTCAGTTGGGCTTGTCCCTCTTCAGGAGCGAAAGAAGGACGTACACGTACATGAATCCACGCTGTTTTCCAGATTTCGCATTGCGCGAACACTCGTATCACGCGGCCGGTCTCGCGGGTCAAGGGGCCGTGTTCATGTACATAGCTGGGCGCGTACGTCCTTTGTGGGCTCCCTACCTCTACAGGAAGAAAATCTTTAAAAATTATCGAAAAACAGTCTGGGGATTATGTCTTGAATAGTTGTTTGACTATTTGGGAGCATTTTTGGAGTATGTTTTGAAAACTTGTTTCACTATGTTGGAGCATGTTTGGGGTATTTGTTTTTAATTTTCCGTCGAAATCCCTCTGTAGGGGAACAGGCCCAACTTAGTCTTGGCACTCTTCTTCGTTTGCTGAATGTTCCTGCCCCGTGCGATTCCTTGCCTGTAAGTCTGTTCGGACTTCGCGTGCAGAATTGCTTATCTACTGTGAAGGTGGTTCTGCTGCCTTCTGAGATCAGCGGCGCCGATAAGGGGGGGCTGGCCCAGTGGGGGCAAGGCCATGCCCCAACAATCCGTACAAAGAGGAGGACGGCGGCGTCATCCAAAGGGGAGGTGAGACAATTGGATCAACAAAGAACGATACTGTAAGTCGCAGGCTACGGACTGGCTGCAGCGTTGAACGACATTGGATCGGCAGCGGGATGGTCTTGTGGGAAGACGAACCGAGATGACTCGAGCAGCACCACGAAGACGACCCCGCAAGCGGATGCCGCGAGCGCCGATCGGGGCCTGGATGCCCGGGTGCCCCGCCCCGCCCAGGGAGCGTGCGGTGTCGCCATCGAGGGTCTGTCGCCCATCGCCGATCCGTCTGGGTCGGCCGCGGTGGCGCCAAGGCAATCGCGCCTCGCGCGTCGCGGCCAGGGTCGCCGAGCTGGCCCTCTCCAGGGGTCGGCGCGAGGGCGACCAGAAAGCCGCACACCGCCGGTTGGGGGGGGGGGGGGGGGGCGACGCGCCAGGTGAGGTGACCTAGACCTATCGGCGATTCACCGCCGATTCCAAGGCGACGTTCCCCACCTGACCCATCGTTCGTTGAAAGTTTTTCGTATTCCCAGACTCCAATCTACGTCAAGTGCCTTCCTGGTTGAATGATCGAGCAGCTTCACCTTTTCCGTCCTCCTTAGGGTGCGGAAGGAACCCAATTTTTCTCAATGCCTCCTTACTTCATGTGTCGACCTGTGGGTAGGCAGTTCCTCTCTTTCGCCCACATCACACAGCTGGCACGAGCTAGGATGCAGAGCGGCCGTAGCTTGAGAGGGTGAAGAGCGACAGTTGGCTCTCCGTGTTTGGGCCCTTTGCCTTGGAGCGATCTCTGCCCTGGGTATCTCAACGGGGCGTTGGTCATTCAGCGAAGAGGCCGCGTTGCTTTTGACCCGCGCTCTCGACTGCAAGACCCAGACCCTCGACGGTATATCGGAGTGAGGGGGCCGCACGGTCATTCATTGTCCGTGCGTGCCTGGCTGAATCATGAATCCGTGGTGAGAATTCTGCTTGTTGCGTTGTTGTTGTTGGTGTTGTTGTTGGTGTTGATGTTGTTGGTGTTGATGTTGTTGGTGGTGTTGTTGGTGGTGCTGTTGTTGTTGTTGTTGTTGTTGAACATTATTAATTCTAAAGAATAATTATTGTTGGGACCCCTGGTGCACGGCCCCCCTGCGCCGCCTAGGCCGCAGCTACATTTTCATCATTTTCGTGAGGAAGCCTCAGGTAATACGATGTCATCAAGATCCGGTTGTTTTGTTGTAATCCGTTTTCCCTTGCAAAAAACACTATAAAATGACATTTCTTGTTCTAATATAATCAAATTTCAAGAATCCCTTGCAAAAAATAAGGTAAAGTGGACATTCGCGCGCGCAAGACGAAATCCTTCCAAAAGCTTAGTGTTCGGAGCGATTTTAACATAAAAACATCAAAAAACCAATGGTTTTTCAACAAAAAAATGTCAAAATCTCATCCCGCGCGCTCTTGCGGATTCGTAGGAAACCCAACACTTTTTAAACATTTCTGTCAAACGGGCTTTTGCGAGCAACTTTTTCGAACTTCTGCGACAACGGTTGCGCACCTGCCAGGGCCATCATCCCTGTCAAATAATACCATGCGGGACACATTCGTTTTTTCTTCGCGCGCGCACGCCGAAATCTCCAAAAACCATTGGGCTTCTTAAGAATTTTAGCACCGCGCATCATAAAATCACACGAATCGCACCGTAGGTCCTCGAAAAACACCTGCACGACTTTTCAAAATTTCTACCCGCGCGCGCTGTCCGCCAGTGTATTCCACGCCAGTGTACTCCACGCCAGTGTAGTAGCCACGGTCGTCCGCAGGCCACGAAGTGAAGTGTCCGAACGTCATAGGGCGGGAAGCTGGGTGTGGGTGGTGGCGAAGAGTCGTGTGGATATTTGGTAGAGCTTGCACTGCCCCCCCACAAAGTGGGGGTATTGGCTGGCGTCGCATGAAAACCCTGGCACTGGTGAGAACACTGAGCGTTCGGGTAAAGTGATTGTTGTTGTTGAACATTATTAATTCTAAAGAATAATTATTGTTGGGGCCCCTGGTGCACGGCCCCCCTGCGCCGCCTAGGCCGCAGCTACATTTTCATCATTTTCGTGAGGAAGCCTCAGGTAATTCGATGTGATCAAGATCCGGTTGTTTTGTTCCCCCCCGCTTTCCCTTGCAAAAAACACTATAAAATGACATTTCTTGTTCTAATATAATCAAATTTCAAGAATCCCTTGCAAAAAATAAGGTAAAGTGGACATTCGCGCGCGCAAGACGAAATCCTTCCAAAAGCTTAGTGTTCGGAGCGATTTTAACATAAAAACATCAAAAAACCAATGGTTTTTCAACAAAAAATGTCAAAATCTCATCCCGCGCGCTCTTGCGGATTCGTAGGAAACCCAACACTTTTTAAACATTTCTGTCAAACGGGCTTTTGCGAGCAACTTTTTCGAACTTCTGCGACAACGGTTGCGCACCTGCCAGGGCCATCATCCCTGTCAAATAATACCATGCGGGACACATTCGTTTTTTCTTCGCGCGCGCACGCCGTCGTCGTCGGCCGCGGGGCCCTGAATAGTAGCCACGGTCGTCCGCATGCCACGAAGTGAAGTGTCCGAACGTCATAGGGCGGGAAGCTGGGTGTGGGTGGTGGCGAAGAGTCGTTTGGAAATTTGGTAGAGCTTGAACCGGCCCCCCCACAAAGTGGGGGTATTGCCCGCCTCCTATGAAAACCCTGGCACTGGTGAGAACGGAGTGTCCCCACGTGCTAGTAATTGTTGTTGTTGTTGTTGTTGTTGTTGTTGTTGTTGTTGTTGTTGTCTGTAGTCGTCGTCCCACCCGCGATCCACCCTCGACCCACCCCGCGACCCACCCGCGACCCACCCTTTGACCCACCCACGACCCACCCGCGACCCTTCCGCGACCCACCCCGCGACCCACCCGCGACCCACCTCGCGACCCATCCGCGACCCACCCGCGACTCACCCCGCGACCCACCCGCGACCCACCCCGCGACCCACCATCAAGGGAGGAACACCCACCCAGACCCGACAGTTGAGTCTACCAAACGGCCCCGGGCGTTGACTAAACAGCCCTGCCCTGTTCAATTTATTCCTTGTGTGCGTTTACTAAACGGCTTCGCTTGTCGGGGTGTATGTTTTGGGTTGGATTTTCTGCCCTCTACATCCGCGACCCAACAGCGACCCACCCGCGACCCACCCGCGACCCATTTGCCACCCACCCGCGACCACCTGACGTGAGCGCCGAGGTCAGGCTTTCCACAGGAGCAATCAGGCGCTGGAACGAACGATCGGACGACGTATCTATCGTGACAGGCGTCACAGCGTCATGCTGGCCCGTCGAGAACACAGCAGAGTATAATACAATATAGCATATTCGATCATGGTGGCGTGTAACATAGTTGTATGCCGTGAAATACAGCAGAGACAGATGAATGGCGCTTTGCCCAGCGCAGCATCCGCGCAGACGCAAGGCTGGTGCAGCAGCGAACGATTAGATGTCACGCCACACCGCCGAGTTCAGAACATAACAAACCATGTGTGCATAGAACAGAACAGAGCCGAATCGAGCGTGATAGAGTAGAACACATCAGCGACATAATAAGCGCCACATGTGCACGCAGCCCTGGTGGCCACAATAACAAGCAGTCCAAGATTGCGGGGACAAAGGTCAGAGTGTTAGGGTGGGGATCCTTCGAAGCATACCAATGTCATAGATGTCCGACTTCTCCTCCACTTCTCTATTTGTGTCCGTGTCTATGTTTTCCTCCTGACCTGTATGGCAACGCCTCGACTGAGAGGAGCTCCCGCCAGAGTTCAAGCTTTTCCTGCCGGTGGCCAAGAAAGGCGGCACGGATGCCGGGGCCGCGGCGGGTGGGGCGACGGCGGCCGCGTGAGCCGAGGCTGGCGCGACGCGCGGCGCGCTCGCGGGAACGGGGTCAGAAGGGCAAGTACTGGGTTGGGAGGATGGGTTTTCAGAGGAGGAAGAGGTACCCATACCCCTGCCCATCCCTCGTTTTTTCCGCGTTTTTTGGGCCTCCCGGGAGACCCTCGTCGCCACCACCGGATGCGCGCGGAAGTCCTGGCCAGAACGCACCCCAGGAGAGGTCAAGGGAGTGGCGGTATCAGGTATTGGTTTCCCCAGGGTTGGGAGACATGACCATATTATCATCAATGCTGCCGCGTGTGTTGAAGGTGCCCCCCAACCCTTTCCTCCAAGCACGATACTTGGCCTGCTCACGTGAGGATAGAGGACACGTGTGCGGTCGGTTCGCGTCGTGCCGTTGGCGGCGGCCCCGCCGCCAGCGTTCAGCGTTGAACGCCGCTGGCGACCGAGAATCGGTCGATGTTTTGGAAGCGGCCGTTGTACGATCCCAGCTGTGTCAGAAATCAACGCCGAAGTCGGCGCGACACAAACCTACAGTGGTCGAGTTTCTTTCTCTTCCCTTCAGCGCCCCTCGAAGAGGAAGGCAATGCGTGAGCAGAAGCTTCGGGCGGTCTGCGCAGGTTTCTCGGATCTCCGCCTCGCGTGCTTGTGCGCGACGCCAGCTATGATTCGGATTCCGTGATTAGGGCCCACAGGCGCCCACCAGTGCCCCAGACATCCGCCGGCCTGATGCTTTCAATGCGCGGCCCCAGGGGTCTCTACGCTTGTCCTGGATTCTCCGCCCTGGATTTGTTTTCGATTATCTCGGGTGCCGAGAAAAGCCCTCAGGGGGCCGAAGTCGAGGAAACCCGCGCTGATCGAAGATCCCAGGGTATGGTTTCGGAGACCGCCGGAGAAGTGGGAAGGCGCCCACCAGAACCGTCGGAGGTCGTCAGAGAGATGCTGGTAGGAATCAGGACATCGAGGAATTTCGCCGGAGGTCGGGGAAGGCGCCCATCAGGGACAACGCGGCCACGCCAGAGACCCTCTCCTCTCCTCCTCCTCCTCCTCATCGACCGTTTGACTCCTCTGGATTTCGAGAGGCTTCCAGATTGCGCGTTAGACGAGCTTGCAGGCATCTTCGAGACTATGGAGGCTACATGTACCTGGCCATGGCAGCTCCTCGTTGTTCTCGGGCGGCTGCTTCCCAAGAAATCGTCGGGCGACCGAGTGATCGGCCTCATGGCCATGGTCACCAGGCTCTGGAGCCTGTCCAGGGACGAGGTTTCCAAGGATTGGTCCAGGTCCGTCGATTCTGATTGGGATGCTGCCGTCACAGGTAACTCCCCACTCCTCGAGGCCTTCCTCAAAATCTTAGATGCGGAGGTCACGCACAAGCTTGGTGGGACGTACGGGGCCGCTTTACTAGACATTAAGAGTTTCTATGACAACATACGTTTCAGGAATCTGGTCTGTGCCGCTCTCAGGTTGGGGTATCCGCCAGTTCTGTTATTTTTGCAGCTGCAGCTCTGTGTGGCACCTCGCGTCCTCTCTCAACTGGGCTCGCACTCCTTGGGATTCCAGCCTACCCAGAGCATCATCCAAGGTCTACGGGACGGCACACGTTTTGCTCGTTGCCTCACCTTCTTCGTTTTAGAGAAGCTCCAGACCATGCATGTGGGGATGGGTGAGCGCATCTGGGTGGACGATTTGTACCTGTCTCTGTCGGGGTCCAGGAGAAGGGTGGAGGAGGAGTTGATCAGCAGCGTGGAAGATGTCAATTTCATGTTTAACAAGGAGGGGCTAGCTCTAGCTGACAAGAGCGTGGTTCTCTGCTCGGACCATGCCACGGCGAAGTCTGTGGCCAAGCGTTTGAAGGCTCGTGGCATCCTCATCTCTCCTGTCTTGCAGACCTCCTACCTCGGCGTCGACACTGGGGTGGGTAAACGACAGGCTAGAGCTACTCGGAGACAGCGGGTCGTCAAGTCGGTCCAGCAAAATCACAAGCTTCGTCGGCTCGCCCGTGCATCGAAGAGGTATCATGTTACGAAACGCGTGGAGCTTGCTGGGCCTCAGGCTGGAGCCTTCTATGGTTCTCAGGCTTACGGGGTCTTCGGGGCTCATCTCTTGAATGCTCGTCGTCGTCTGGCTGCTGTCGCAGGCTGTAACAAGAGGGGCCGATGCCTCACCACGGTTCTTGACTTGCGCACGCCAGGCATGGATCCAGGCATTCGATTTCCCGTCTTGCAGCTGCAGCAGTGGATGCAGGTTTGGATCTACTCGCCGCAGCATCGTGCTGGCATCACTCAGGCATGGCCGATGGTGCTAAATCAATTGCGAGGTATTTCTCCAGAGCATCGCACGAAGCATATTCGTGGTCCGCTTTCGGCTTTGGTGCACCAGTTGCTTGTACTAGGCTGGGATCCTGAGCAGGCTGACCGTTGGCATGGTCCATGTAGTGATGGCGACGGCATTCCTGATTTCTCTTGGAACTTTCTTTCTGAGCAACTAGTGGGCATGGATCAGACGAGAGGTTTGGTAGAGGATTTCAGGAACAGTTTGCAGGTGCAGCTTTGGTCGCAGGCCAGTCATCACTACAACGGTGCAGGCCTGGAGGGCGGCGCCGACAACTACAGCCTGCGCATTCTTTTGGCGCAGCTTCAGGATGCAGTGCACGGCAGGCAGTTATCGGAGTTGCTTCTGAGTATTGCAGCTGGAGGCTCTTGGATTTCATCTCGGAAGGAGGCTGCAGGCATCCCCGTGGACCCACGGTGCCCCAGATGCCGTCAAGCTCCAGAGACTCCTTTACACAGGCATTGGACTTGCGAGGCCAACAGTGGGCATCCCGTCTACGAGGAGTCTAGCGAGTTCCTCATGGAGGCCCTTGCCCATCATGAACACGAAGCGTGTTTCTGGCACCGTGGCCTTATTCCCCGTCAATGGACCCTGGTAGAGCCCCCTGTGGTCTCCGAGTGTTGGTTCACTACTGGGTTCAATGGGCCTCTTACTGCTGGTTGTCTTGGGAGTGGGACTCTTCAAGATCCCGTGGTTATCTGTGGTGACGCCTCTGGAGGCCCCGACGCCAGAGATCCCAGATTTCGTCGTGTCGGGATCGCCATCGTGGTCGTCAATCAGTTCGTTCCGTTCCTTTGCGAGCAGTCTGTTGCTGGTCCGCTTCCAGGCAAATATCAGACGGTTCCTCGTGGGGAGCTCATGGCGCTCCTGATCGCTTTGCGTTTCACTCACGAGCACCTGGTTTTCGTTTCAGACAACGAAGAGGTGGTGCGAGGGTGGTGGCAGCGTCGTTGGGAGTCACCGAAAGGAGAGTTGGCAGATTTGTGGAGAGAAGTAGGAGTTTTGCTCATGGACAGAGCTCCAGAGAAGATTGCAGTCTTGCAGATCTCGTCTCATCTTTCCCCCCTGCAGATGTGTGTAAAGAAGTATCCTAGTTGGATGGTAGAGGGGAATATTTGTGCAGACGTATTGTCAGGACACGTGGCGAAGATGTTCCGTGTGTCCGAGCAGTCTCGGTTTCGCGTACTGCAGGTCGAGAGGAAGGCCGCTTTGGTGCGGAAGCGTCTCATGAGATCTACTCTGCAGGCCATCAATGCTGAACAGGCCGTGAGGAAGTATGAAAGTTCGAGGTCCGCTGCTGATGCCGCCGCCGCTGACCCTGTCCTTTCTCCTCCTCCCCCCCCGCCTCCTCCGCCCCCGCCTTGTCCTGCTGCCGTCGCCCTGTTCTGTTCTGGGCATTCGGTGGACGACAGCGGCTCCAAGTGCACGAGATGCCACAACTCGAGCACTAAGGCGGGGCGCTCTCGCTGGCTCTCCACTCCTTGTCACCCTCTTGTCTCCTTGTCTCGGGGTCTGCTACAGCCTCCCGCGGGGGTGCAGATTCATCTGGCAGGGGGGTGGGTGCACGACAGTCATGCCATGTGTTTTCATGAAATTTCGAAGGTCTGGATTTGTCGAGCTTGTGGATTCTTCGGAGCTGAGCAGCTTCGTGGTCTCTCGTCCACTTGTCTCCCTTCGAAGATCACCAAGAAGCGGAGGGAATACCTCTCCAGATTCGAGAGGGGACTTCCCCCCAAGTAGTCAGTCGGTATTGCTTCGCAATCGTTCCGAATCCGAATCCGAATCCTCCTCCTCCTCTTCCCCCTCCGCCTCCTCCGCCTCCTCCTCCCCCTCCTCCTCTCTCCTCCTCCTCCTCCTCCTCCTCCTCCTCCCCCTCCTCCCCCTCCTCCTCCTCCCCTCCTCCTCCTCCCCCCCTCCTCCTCCTCCTCCTGCGCCCACCGTGGGGCCCCCTGCGCGGCGCCCACCGCTGGCTTCGGAGGGCCACTCCGACTGGGGCCCCCTGTCGGATCAGATCGATCTGGCTGCGGCTTCTATTCTGGCCGGCTCGATCCGATTCGGTTCCGACGTTCCGGAGATTTGATGCGGCCCGATGCCTGCGCCCCAATCTCCGAAGAAGCGTGTTCTGCCAGTTCGACCGGGGCGTTTCCTCTGATTTTGGCATGCGGCCCAATTCTCAAGCCCACGGGCCATCGGCAATTTATCTGGGTCGGGAGGTCTGCGGCCGCGGAATTGGACAATTAGCCTGTCGAAGAACCCAACCATATGCAGTTGTCAGTACCGCAGCTGCGGGTTTCATCTTCAGTGGAACTCCCCATAGGACTACGGAACGTGTGCGGGGTGTGCCGAGATGGTTGCCACTGGGGCCTTCGGTTTATGAAACTGCTGTGGGCTACAGGGCAAGTCCCCTCTTAAGTAGTGTTTTAAGTGTTTTTGGCCATTCTCCAAAACTGCATGTTCAGAGTCTCGGCGGAGTCGTGTTGACAGTACCGTTGGTGAGTTCGTTTGCCACAAGTAGTGGCGGGCGGGATGCTGTATGTTATTTGCTTTCTCTACGATAACGCCTATGTCCTCCTTCCTCACATACCTCTCTCAATCCGTGTCTCTAGATGTCTGGGCCGCAATGTTTTGCTGTGTTTGTCATGTGCAGGGCGATTGATAATACTTGGGTTGGATATCTAGATATTGCATATGCAGATACAAGAAAAACTGTTTGGAACCCACGGTTGTTGGGCCAACATGCGTGGATTCCAAACAGTTTGTTCTTATATGGTGAGTTTGTGGAGCACGTGGTGCAAGCCACGACGTGTGAATTTGTCGGCGCTAATCGAGAGACGGAAAACGAAATCTGTTGTTTTGTCCAAGCCGCGTTGAATACGCTTCGGACCATTGACAGGCCCGCCCAGCACGAATCTAAGAATGCGGCAGCGGGGTGGCGCTGCCAACAACGTGGCCCAATTTCGGTTGACCCGTCAAGCGCGCGTTGCGGCAACAAGGCGGCAACGAAGCGGCGATGGGCGGCAATGAGGGGAACTGTCGGCGGAGCCGTCAGAATCAGTAGGAAGAACAACGAAACCCCTGTAAGTGCTAGCTAGCATCTAGTGACCATCACAACGCTCGGGCATCTTTCCTGATTCGATCTGCCGACCCGCAGATGTTTCCGCTGACTCCCCAAACCGAGCTTGCACCTATGGTGTCCGAATTTGCCTTTCACAGTTTGGATGGGTCCACCGCCGAGGTTCAGTCAACTTGCCGACAAACCCGTCTCGTTGCCGCCTCGTGCGTTGGCGGGTGGGTCCGCCGAGGATTCGCGATTGATGCCAGTGCCGCCTCGTTGCCACTTCGCGGCCGCCTCGTAGGATTGGGAAAGGGGGTCCTGGTTCCACATTGTTCTGTTGTTGCAGCTTCCAGCGCTCCCCGCCGACGTCCTCCCATAGCCATTTTGGCCATCCAGAGGTTTCCAAACATGATCCTCCTATTTGCATTCTTCCATATCATGTCCTCCTGGGCGGACGCTGCACGCCTCGGAGTTGATTTTCATCAGGCAGCTGACGAGTCCGACATTGGACTCTTGAGTGTTCATAGGGGCGCACAAGTTGACACACTCGTTGCCGACCCCACACCAGATGCAGATCGCAGGAGGCTTCGTGACGAACAATATCAGTTGGACGAGTGCAGCCCCGACCCGACATATATGGCCAAGCGGATGAATATGTACATTCCAGACGACACACACAGCCAACTTGGTCGTGATGATAGCACCCTGCCCCCATTCATCCGCATGGCCCGCAACATGGCGAAGCGAATTGTTTCAGATTGCAGGTTTAACCCGTGCACGGCGGACTCTGATTACCACTGCGATCGTTTGGCCAATTTTCTGTTTTCACGGTGCCAACGGGTGGCTAGCGCCATCTCTACTGCAGAACTTGTGGGCGCACGTGCAGGCCAACTGACGGGGTACAAAGAACGGCTGGCAAACGCGCTCATAGTATCAAGCCGCGCGTCGCGGACACAGTTGGAGGACGCCCTCGTCGCTCAGATGCCCAGCGGCTCCTTGCTGCTGTATGTTGATTACTACAGAGCGGACGAGACACCTCTGCCAGTGCGCACTCGCGCCACGGACCCCTAGTCAGAGCAGAGCGTGGCACCGTCGTCCCAAGGCAGCGGCCTTCCAGGACAACAGCTTGTTCATCACGATTTCGGGTCGCTGGATTTCTCAGCCGACGCCGCGGTGCCGCGCAAGATTTTGCAGAGTGAGTCCAAGTTCGGCATGTTGGTGCAATGCGAGCATCCACACAACCACTTTGCAATCTGCATTGGCAATACCCTCAACTGGCTGCAGCACATGGACCGTACAACGGCGGAATGCCTCAACACAGCATGCAAAATGACAAGAGCAGTTGGGGAGCCATCCCGTCAATTCAAAATGAAAGTGAGGCTCGTAGTAGAGGATGCTGCTGTTTCAAATTTGAAAGCTGAGCGCCTCATCCTATCCGACCTGCAATCCGATGGTGACGGATGGCTCGGACTATCGATCGAATGCCAGGTGCATAAAACGGCTGGCTGTTTCAA